AAAAAAAAAAACCATAGCGGTTCCTTTCCTTACACGCTTCTGTGGAAAGGTCCAATGAGCGTTTCATGATTCGATTTTGCCACCTACCTGAAGCTCCATCCCGAGGCGGCCCAACAAATCGAAAAATACGAACGTATGACGAGGAGCCAGACCCTTGAAGCCGAAAGTCATCAAAGAAATCATGGATCAGGAGGGCCCCCCCATCCCACCACCATCATTAATCTCTTTCCCTCAGTGATTGTTGGGTTTAATCTCAGGCTCAAAAGATGGGGTGCGTGTCCTCAGGATTTTTCGCTTACGGGCAGCACTTGGGGATAACCCAACTAATAACTAACCGCATTACTGTTGTCTGTCTAGTCGACATCGAAGTTGACCGGATCCAGGAGGTCAGGTGGAATAAGAAGGCTTTTGAAAACCTTGTGGTGGACGACGACACCAAGCACCTTGTTGAGGCACTGATATCAAACCAGGTCAAGACCGAGATGTCGACGGATCTCATCAGCGGCAAAGGGAACGGCTTGATCATGTTACTTCACGGGTTCGTGCTCGACCTAACCAACGACCCTCCTAATTACACCCCAGTTCTGGCACTAACCCTACTGCAAATAAACAGAGGTCCCGGTACCGGGAAAACATTCACAGCAGGTACCTCTAGCCACCTAGCCAATCCCTCCGAAGCAGTGACGGTGATACTGATATTGTGATAGAGAGGTATTAACTTGTGCACGAAGCGAAGACCACACCCATTCCCTTCCCTCAAATCGGTAACTACCTACCTAACCCATTCTGTCCTAGTGTTGCCGAGTTGGCAGAGAAGCCCCTCTACAGAGTCACCTGCGGCGATATTGGGACAAAGCCCGAGCAAGTGGAGAAGGTGTGTTATACCCTGGACATGACGACACGATAAGAGGTGAAGCTTATCGGCCCTCCAAGTATCTGGAAACGGTCTTGTTGCTGGGAAAGATTTGGGGTTGTGGTAAGTCTTGTCATTCTCCTTGAACCATTTCCAGTTACCTTCGTGATGAATCATGCCGCTCAACCACACTAGTCGTTCTGCTCGATGAGGCGGACGTGTTCCTTGAAGAGCGTAGCTTGACCGATCTCAAGAGAAACGCGCTCGTTTCAGGTGAATAAAGTCAAGCCCAATCACTTTCGATTTCAAGTTCCGTGCTAAGCTTTTCAAAGTCTTTTTGCGTGTGCTGGAATACTATGATGGTGAGCACCACTTCTTGCTTTCCCCTTTCTCCTCAAGGAAGCAAGCTAACCAACACACCCCTTTCCTAGGTATTCTTATCCTCACCTCCAACCGGGTCGGGACCTTTGACCAGGCCTTCAAATCGCGCATCCAGCTCGCACTTCACTACGAGAACCTTAAGAAGCCGCAGCGGCGCAAGATTTGGCGCAACTTCTTGACACGGCTACGCGACGTGGGCGAGGCGGGGGTTGACTACGACGACCTGAACGACCACATCGACGATCTAGCTGAGGAAGACATGAACGGGCGCCAGATCCGCAACGCCATTACCACAGCGAGGCAGCTGGCTCAATTTAGGGGTCAGAAATTGTCGTTTGCGCAGTTGAAGCACGTTATTGCTGTTGCGGGGAGGTTTGAGGGGTATTTAAAGGGGGTTCAAGGGGGGTATACGGATGATCAACTGGCTAGAAACGACGGCGTGCGGTGACGAGTCTTGACCAGGTACCTTGGGTGGCGGTCAAGCCAAGCGGAGAGTGAGCCGCAAATTTTGGAGCACTTGTTAACCCTTTACAACGACAAAGCGTATCCCGTTGATCTATAGATCTTTAGCGGTTTTCGCGGGATTGTTATTTTTAGCTCCTTACTCGGCGGACCTTGTGATGCGTGTTCAACATCCATGTCAGCAAGTTGAGCTCTCCGTTGTTGGTCAACCCTTTCCTCGACAGAGCCGCAAACTTCCTACCGCCCTCCGCCGCCCCTGTTCCCCTTTATGGGTCTAATACAAACGGATGCCCTCCCAGACCCCGCCGGAAACACGTACCTAGGTATCTAGGTAGGTAAGTAAAACCACCTGGTTCCTCGATCTTCAATGCCTATTGACGGCTCTAACCCCGACCATCGCCTTTACTTTCCTTTCATCACGGTCTTGCGTCACCTCTCCCTCTGCTTCCGATTGTTTTCCGCGTGGCACGCAGCGCAGTCGTTGGGAAGACCAACGTCAATGACTAGGCTGTGTTCGTTGAACGGGCATCTACCTTGAATATGGCGTCTCCAAACGTCGCAACAGTACGGGACTGGCCTGAGTTGGGACTCAGCGTGACCGCAACGGTAGATGTCGCGCTCCCACGTGCACATGATACCGCTTGTATTTGGTTCGACGTTTGTTGTGGGGTGGTGTATGGTGGACTGTGTGTGTTGAAAGGGTAAGTTGCGAGCCACGAGTCTATGGTAATGTTTTCTCTCTGAGCCAGCGAGAGAAGGGTGGATATCTGACGCTCCGAGCTAGCAGAGTGATGAGGTGGTTTTGGAAATGTATTGAGGTTCAAGGACGTAGGGCCGTCGAGTACTGAGTGGTGATCATTGCGTTCAACATCATGACCCTATGTTAGCAGACTGCTTTTATATTTTACTGCCTTGGTACGTACCCTTCTCCTTGCTTCCACCCATTCCTAGAGTCTCTGGTCGCCTGGCTTCGAGGCAGGGCCACTGGAACCACATCAGACGAGACCAAGGCCTCTAGCCTAAGATGCTCCGACCCTCGTCTGAGTGTTGGGGGTTTTAGGGTCTTCAGGGGATCGGGTCGTGCCCGTTATCCTCCTTCCATTTCTATCACCCTCTCAATTCCTCCGAAGCCAGTTTCTAAGCCACGCATGGCCTCTTATGTCTCGGGCACCCTTTCTCAGTCGTCAGAAACTGACCAACTCGATGACTAACTGGCGGTCATTCGTGGACCAGCGGTTATGGCCTGGCGGTGGTGTTTCTTCGGCCATTGCTGGGACAACGAACCCGTAGTCCGGCCGAGGCTACACATCTGGCCACACATACCCCAGTGCCCCCAGCGCCCCCAATATGAGACGTTTGGAGCTCATGTCCTAACCACTGCGGACTCAACGACGTGCGGATTTGAAGCTGCGCCAATAACCTGGCCAAAATAGCAACTAACAGAGTTTTTGTGATGGCTGTGATTGGGTAACGGTCATTATTCCAAGTCGTTATTGGGCTGTTGGGGCTCCGACAGCAATCATTTTGTCCTGGGCGGCCAGCATTGTCGACCGAACCGAATTTAAAGATCAAGTTGTGGCCCGGGCCGGGAGGGTTCGGCCGCGGGCCAGCGCCATTATGGGATGGTAGCATCGTGTTGGAAAACCTACAGCCACGGATACCGAGATGGGGCAGTCACACGTAGCGAAGACAGTGTAATTACGTCCAGATGACTCGATTGATGGTCGACTACTGCAGTGCCACCGTTGTGATTTTTGTGTCTGGTTCAAAACAGCTGTGGGCAGGCGTCTGACCCTGAAAAATACCGCATCTGGTCCCCTGGGTCCACCTCAGGGGGTTTGATTACGCCTTGGCGACCACACGCCAAAGGCGTGGTCCTAACCCTGTAATCTTGACACATCGGGGCCGAGACGGCCAGGGCACTCTGGTTTCGGATCACCCAATGTGCCAACATCCAATGTTTCCAACACAACTTAGCTCCCCTTCCTGTAACCAGCCACCGGGGTAACCGTTGGGTCTTCACCGATTAACAAATGGCAAACACAATCAATCGAATCCCCCTCCGTCACACTGAACATGGGGAGGAACGCCACTGAATATGAAAGACTCTCCGTGCAGGTACACACTAAGTACACGTCTCGCCCAACTGGGCCAATTTTTCGACCCAACAACTCAATCAATCAAGCAATTGCTTGCCCACATACACAAATCGCGAATCAGCTCCCTAAGCGGTTCCATTCGACGTCCGTCATTGCGATATTCAACCACCGTAGTTCCAACACCTGCCTTCCCACAATCACAACAGCTGTGTGACAGGCGAATCGAGACCGCCATCCAGGGCACGCAACACGGCACAAAGCACGCCCAGCAGCTCTTCCAGCCGTTCTCCCGAAGCAACCTCGCTGCGACAAAACATGTTCAACCGGAGCAATTGGCCGGCGTCACCATCATCACCATCCTCAGCGTCAACGACGCTGGACGCCAGCCAGATACTCCGCCCCGGCAGTGAGATAGGCGACCAGGCATCCACATAGGCATCCAACGCGCCATAACGCATGCGGAACTGGTCGGGGGCGTACTGGTGGTGCACAACAGAGCCGAACTCGATATCAGCCGGGTCCTCCCAAGACGTGCAGCGGGCTGCCACGACACTGAGGGGCACCGTCTCAAAGTCGACCGAGGCGGCGTGCTGGTCCTGCACTCGGCGCATCAGCGCTGCCACGGAGGAGTGGTCGCCGTCGTCTCGCAGTAGCAGCTGCACTCGCACAGGCGACAGATTGAGACAGGGCCCCACAACGGCGGCCAGGCTGGGGTCTCCGTTGCGCCCGCTCACGAGCTGGCCAAACACGACGTCGCCCCGGCCCTGGAGTACCCGGCTTTGGGCGAGCGCCCATGCCGTCTTGACTACGGTGGCGTCGGTGATGCCCGGCGGTGGTGTAGGTCGTCGCACGCTGGTCGTGACTTCGACCAAGCTTGGGGCAGTCGGAGGGTGGGGGTGGACGGGCAAGCCTAGCTCTGATAAGTGCGTCATTGATGCGCCGTGCAGAAGCCCGCGCCAGTGCGCCAGTACGCCTTCTGTGACATTGCGCGATAGGCAATAACGTGTATAGGCGGCAAAGGACAAGGCCGCCGTGCCCACGTCACGGTTCTCGTAGAGCCCCAGCAGGTCGTTTATCAGCACGGGAATTGACAGTCCGTCGTACTGGGCATGCGACAGTCGCAGCGCGAGCACATGGTGCTCGTGGTGTCGTCGAACCAGTGTCATCCGCAACGGCGGCGCTCCGTACAGTTTCTGGAAATGCGCGTCCTTGCGGCTCTCGGTCACGACAAATGCCATCAAGTCCGCCTCGTCGGTCTCGAGCTCCTCCACAACGGCTACTGACGCAGGCAGTTGACGTAGGACCACCTGTAACGTCCTGCCATCACTGTGCAGCGCAAAGACAGTGCGCAGGATCGCGTGGCGCTGAACCAACTCGAGGCATGCCCGCTTTAGCTGCGTCGTGTCCAGGGGTCCCCTGAGCTCCAGGAACCAGTAGTTCTGCGGCCGGGAGGCGGAAAAGGTCTGCAAGTCAAGAGCGGGCAATACGTCTTCTACGTCTTGTTCCTGGAACCCTAAGTCTTGCCAGGGCAAGGAGCTCAAAAGTCGGGCGTCCAAGGCTTCTTCTGTGCGGCCGTTGATGACGTCCTCCTTATCCAGGGGCAAGCCATTCTTCAAGTCGGACTGAGACGGGGATGACGCTCTCGCCAGCTCCGCAAGAGCCGTGGAAAGGAGGATCTGCCTCACGGTTATCGACGGACCCTCTCGTCGGGCAAGAGACACCAGCTGCATGGCCTTGATCGAGTCTCCTCCAATATGGAAGAAATCGCTGTCAATGTCGATAGCACTAGGAACGAGGCCTAGCACCTCAGCACAGAGCCTTTGGATTTGTTGTTCTCTCTCTGACAGGAACCTGGGAGGATTCTTCTGGCCATGGTCACCATGTCCGAGGTGCTCTCTCAACGAGGCGGGGGCGGTTAATGCCAAGTGCCCGAGTTTTGTCCTGTCGACCTTGCCTGACCGGTTCAGGGGAATGCGATTGACAGCGAGGAACCTCGCGGGCACCATGTAAGAGGGCAGCCACTCACGAAGACGGGATGTAGCGTCGCGGATGCTGGAGAAGAAATCAGGACTTGATTCCAGGATGCGGCATTCAGTGTCAAGATCATCGCAAGCTCCATCTCCCGGGCCCCATTGTATGAAGGCCGTTAATGTCTGTTGTTGTGACGAGGGCGGTGGCTGCTGGAGCAGTGCCACAGCCACGCTCTGCGAATCTGAGAAGAGCCGGCCGAGATGAGACTCGATCTCACCGAGCTCCACGCGCTGGCCGTTGATCTTGGTTTGACTATCATAGCGGCCGATGTACCGTAGTGCACCGCTGGGGAGGTATTGAACTAGGTCGCCCGTGCGGTAGAGCCTGCCCGCAGTCGCGTGGGGTCCGCGGAACCGCTGTAGCCAGGCCGGCGGTGGAATGAATGCCTGGCGGGTTAACTCCTCCTCCTTCAGATACCCCCGCCCTACGATAGGACCCTCGACCAGGAGCTCACCGACGGCCCCGATGGGAAGCAGCCTATCCGGGTTCTCGACATCGGTGATCCAACAAACAGCACCACTGGCCGTTCCAATGCTCTCAGGGTCCAAAGCAACCTGGTCGTTGACGACGCAGTCCACGGAACACTCGGCGGGCCCGTAAGCGTTGATGAGATGGACTGCGGGCGCCCACGTCCGCACGTTATCGTCCTGGAGGACCTCGCCGCTGAGCACGAGGTTATCGATACCCGGGACCTGCGACGGCTGCAGCGTGCGTGCGACCGAGGGCGTGATGTGCATCCAGTTGGCCTCGAGACGCGCGACGGCGCCGGATATGTCGTTGAGCCTGTCGGCCTCGGAGGGCACGCAGACACAGCCGCCGGCCATGAGGGTGGTGAGGTAGTCGCTGACGCTGACGTCGAAGGAATGCGAGGCGAATTGGAAGACGCGAGCGTGTGGGGAGACGCTGAGGCGTTTCTGGAGGAACCGGCCGCTGGTCGCGTACTGTGTGTGTTCGATGACGACCCCCTTTGGTTTCCCCGTCGAGCCGGATGTGAAGACGGCGTAAGCTGCATGATCCGGCTCCGCCTGATATGTGAGGAGGCCTGGCGTTGGCGCTGGCCACCGCTCAGATTCCGAGTGGGAAACGGTCGCCACCGCTCGGGGCCCCAACGTAGCCACCCTATCGTGGTCTGGAGGTGTGCAGACGATGACCTGGCACCCCAGCGTCTGGCAGATGGACTGCAAACGGAGGTCGGGCAGGGCCGGGTCGAGCAGCACGAAAGCTCCGCCGGCACGCAATACGGCCAACAAGGCGATGCCCACCCACAGCGACTTGTTAAGCAGGATAGGCACGAAGACGTCGGGCCCCTCAACCCCAAGCGTCTGCAGATGCATGGCAAAAGCCGCGGATAGCGTGTCCAGCTCGCGGTAGGTGATGGCACCGTCCCACGCGCATATCGCCTGGGCCTCGGATCGCGTCTGGCATTGTTCCAGGATATACTGATGGACGCAGGCTTGCTCCGCCTGCGGGAGATGTTCGTTCCAGGCGTGGATTCGGTCGCGATCCTGGTCGCTTAGGGTCTGACAGTCCGCGACCGTGGCGAGGGGATTGTCGGCCATGTGTAGGATGGTCTGTACCAAGAGTCCGCAGAGCGCAGACCCTTGCTGGGGATCGAGATAGGCGTCCCAGAAACTGAGAGATAGGCTGATGATGTCTTTGGCCCCATCAACGTTGAGAACCAGACCATACTAAAATGTAATGCCTTATTAGCCAATTTCACGGTCCCCCGAAACCAAACGGAAAAATAGATCCTTACCTCAGTTGGATCGTCGATGTCGACCGTTTCTAACTTCGCAGCGTGGCCGCTGTCCGCATCATCCCCTGAACCAGAACGAGCCTGGTACGATATGATGGAATCAAAAAGCACATCACCCCGGAGGCCTAGATCATGCTGGATCCTAGCCATAGAACAATGCTGGTTCTCCAAACCGCGAACAAAACTTTCTTGATTCCTTTCCAGCAACACCCCGACGGGAAGACTTTGGTCGTCCACCCGCAGCCGGCAAACCAACATGTTGATAAAAAGCCCTACGGCATCCTCAATCCCAGGGAGGGCAATATCCCGCCCGGACGCCAGGTATCCGAAACAGACGTCATCGGAGCCCACGTAGCATCGCAGCACGAGCGCCCAGGCCACTTGGATGACGTTGAAAGGCGTGGTCCCGTATTCTTCACAGAGTCGTTGTAGACGGCCGGAAGAAATCTGCCGAGTGGCTGAATGCAGCTGGCTCTGTCCCCGCTGGGACGATGGGCCGCCGCCGCTCAGCTTGGGAAATCGGCATGGCGTGACATCGTGCAGGTACTGCCGCCAGTAACGGGCAGTATCTTCCTCTCTTGGGGTCTCGTCGCTCAGGTAGGAAATGTACTCGCTATATTGCAGAGGTTCTGGGCCGCGATGGAGAGCACTCCCGTTGATTGCCTCGGCGAGCTCGGCGCCCAGAAGTTGGAGCGAGCGGCCGTCGACGAGGGCGTGGCTGATGGTGAGGGCGCATTGGAAGTCGCCGGTATCCGAAGTCTGGGTTACTGCGAATGACCAAGGGAGAGGACCCTGCTTTTCTACTGGCGGGCCGGAGAAGTTTGTGATGGTGATGTTTCCGGTAATATTGTCGCCTTCGAGCACGATCTGGTCGTAGGAACGATGGCTGGAGGGACTTTCGATGATGATGGTGCGCAGTGTTGCGTACTTGGCCACCACTAACTGCCAGGCCGCCTCGATGCGGCCAGCAGTCAGGTGGTTGTCGATTCCGTGGCTCGTCATCTTCCACCTTGTCGTGGTTTCGTAGAGCGCGTCGTTTCTTGCCTGGCTCACTAGTATCCCCTGCTGCATGTGCGAGCATGGGTATGCGTCCTTCAGAAATGACGGCGCTATGCTGAGGTGAGTGACGCGCTGAAAAAGCATCTCCATCTCCTGTTGCGTCAGTCTGAGTCGTGGGAAGTCACCCGATGTGATTTGGCGAGGTGCGCTTGAGAGTTCCTCCGCGATTCCACCCAGGAGAGCTCGACAGGTCGTCAGCCATTCGCGGACCAAGTCTTGATGAAGGCAATTCCGGTTGTAAGCGAAGTCGAATTGCATCCTGCCAGCGGAAACCCAGGCTTCTATGACGAAGAAGGCATCCCTGGGTATCTGGGGGTCGGTGCTGATGCTAAGGCCATCAAACCTCGACGTACTTTGTAGAATATTACCCTCTCTCTCCAGGCTGCGGTATGCCCCATGGTAGTTGAGCAGTATCTCGGCAGGTCTATTTAGATCAAGCAAACGGTGACCTTCAGGGTGCAGGTGGCGAGCGGCGAAGTAGCTCCAGCCATTCGCCGGTGTTTGACGTAGAGCGTCCTTTGTCTGTCGAACCACATCTACCAAGGTTGTGTCTGATGCAACAGGAACGATGACGGGGAAAAGCGTGGTGAACCAGCCGACCGTTTCGGAAACATCGATAGATCTGCTCCATGCCTCTCTGCCGTGGCCTTCCTGATGGATGATAGGTGGTCGGCGTCCTGGGAAGACCCTGACAAAAGATAGAAGAATGGCAGCATGGATAAGTTCTATAGGCTTTGTCCGTAGAGCCTCGTTGGCCGGCCCAAGAAGAAGCGTGGTGGTCTTCAAGTCCACCGTAAAGCTGGCCGAGATTGCTTCGGCGTGGGTGTTGGTGATTTGTGGGCAACCCCAGAAGCCCTCGACATCAGCCTCGAAGTCGCCAAGGATCTCCAACGACGGCAGCGTCTCTGGAGGCTTTAGATTTGTGCGGACGTGTTCCGACTGCGCCTGGCACCATTTCGGGAAGGACAGACAATGCAATGGTGGGAGTGACTCGCCTCCCAGCAAGACTTCGAGATCGCTCATGATGACTCGCCATGAAACGAGATCCACGGCAAGATGGTGGGCGATAAACGAGAGATACTGGTGCCCATCGACAAGGAAGTGGTCCACTACCAGCATCGGGCCGTTTTGGCAATCCACTACTGCCTGGGTCTCCTCCAGATGATGCTTTAGTTCTGCGCTGGATACGCTTGCGCTGTGATAGCGGTAGCGGAACGACTGATCGATCCTGTCGGTGATTGTTTGCATCCACGAGCCTGCCTCGCTCCGACGGAACGAGACACGCAGCATAGCATGCCGCCTCACTACCATGGATATGGCCGCCTCTATGGGCTGCTGCGTGGAGCTCTGAAGTTCGACCACGAAGTTTTGGTTGTAGCGAAGTCGGCCTTCGGGGACACGATCGAAGAAAGCCTGCTGGATCGGGGACAGGCCAAATGGCACTCCGACTTCTTCCTCCTCCTTGCCCTTGACTGCACTGGCCCCGGTTCCGACTCTCCTGGCTAACCGTGCCATTCGATGGACGGTCTTGTGCCGGAAAATGTCGGGCATGGTGATGGTCAGGCCCTGGTGGCGGCAACGTGTCACGAGCTCCATGGCACCAATCGAATCACCGCCGAGATGGAAGAAATTATCGTTGATGCCGAGCTCTTCTGGCTTTCTGTTGAGTACATGGGCCACACATTCCAGGAGCGATGCCTCGAGGTCGTTCGCCGGACGCGCTTTATGAAGCGAGGGCGTCATGGCTTCGGCGTCGTAAGCCTGGAGGAGCGCGTCTAATGTCATTTGGGCAGCTAAAGCTCGGAGGCACTTGCGGTCCAGCTTGCCCGTGGGACCAAGGGGAACCCATTGCAGAGGCAGGAATGCCGTCGGGACCATAAAACTGGGCAGCGTCGCTCGCAACTGTGTCTGAATCTCGAGGGCGATTCTCTGGAAGGCCGTTGTCGCTGACATGAGAACATTGTCATTGTCTTTGTCTTGGGTTTGGGGAACTCCCCGGCTCCTTTCGTCGTTCGGCGCGTAGATGAAGGCCGCCAGCATGGGCCTCGCGCCACCACCGTCCGGATGAATGAGGTCGACAACGGCGTCAGCGTGCTTCGGTAGATATTGTCGCACATGGAAGGCCACCTCGTCGAGCTCCAGGCGCTGGCCGCGTAATTTGACCTGTGTGTCCTTCCGGCCCATGTGCACCATGGTGCCGTCGGGTTGGTAGCGGGCCAGGTCACCCGTCTTGTAGAAGCGGTGCGAAGCTGCGGGCCGGAAGCGAGTAATCCAGTCTGGAGGCTGAACAAAGGAGGCCTCGGTCAGTTCGGGCCGGCGCAGGTAGCCGCTGCTCACGGCGGGGCCCTCGAGGAGGATTTCGCCGACGGCCCCCACGGGGAGGAGAGTCTGATGGTCGGCGGGATCAACGATCCAGCATACCGCGCCCGTGCCGCAGCCAATGTCAGGCGGGCCCAACCTAGCCGTCACATCTGGTTGCACCATGCACCATGAGCCACACTCGGCAGGCCCGTAGGTGTTGACTAGGCGGGCGTATCCCCGCCACTGGGCCTTGTCGGTGGCGGCCATCGACTCTCCGCCCATGTTCACAGTCCGCAACGCAGGGACATGGGATGGGGTGATCAGCCGGGCGACTGAGGGTGTGAGCTCAACCCAGTTGGCGCCCACATCCTGGATCGCCTGTTCAATATCGTGGAGCTAGGGCGGCTGAGGGGATGCACACACAGCCTCCCTGGGTGAGAGTCAGCAGATGATCGCTGACGCCGAGGTCAAACGCGTAATTGGAGAACTGGAACGTCCGTGTGTTCCGATCGACGCCCATCGGCCCCTTGTTTGCCTCTAACGTCGAACAGCACGATGCATGGTCCATAATGACTCCTTTAGGCTTGCCGGTAGAGCCCGAGGTAAAAACGGCGTAGACAGGGTTGGACGGCTCGACATGGACCTGAGCAGGGGGTTGGGTGGGCCACGTGGTCTCGCTAGTGGGACCGACGACAATCGTTTGTACGGACAGGTGCTGCAAGACGTCTCGGTGGGTGACCGAGGCGAGCACAAGTGAAGGCTGTGCGTCGGTGCAGATGTCTTCCACGCGGCGGACCGGGGTTGTCGGGTCCATGAGGACGAAGGCCGCCCCGGCTCGCATGACGGCCATCATGGCCACAACGGTCCACTTGGACTTTTCAAAGACCAGCGGGATATACGTCTCGGGTTGGGCGCCGAGTTCCACAATATGAGCGGCTAGCCGGCCGGATAAATGGTCGAGCTCTCCATAGGTCAAGTCTCCATCCCAAGAATGCACGGCTAGTGAGGAGGCACTATCTCGGAAGTGTTCTTCTACAAGATGGTGTACGCAGCGCTCATGCCTCGGCGGGGTATTCCAATTCCACTGCTTGATAAGGCCCGCGTCCTTGGGACTCAGTAGGCTGGCTTGCGCAACGGTGGCCCGAGGCTGCGCGACCACGGTATTGATCGCTTCTCGGAAAGTGTGGATGACTTGGTCAGCTTGTTCGGACGACAAGCACTCACCCTCCCAATACCCGATGGAGAGCGCGACAGTTTGCTTATTCACCAAGGCATGCAAGGAGAGTGCGTATTCGGTGGGATCGGCCCCTCCCTCGCTGGTGAAGACCACGGGTAGATCAGACGAGCCTTGGTGCGGAGTGCTATCTTGCACGGATATGCTAGTGTTAAACAGCTCAGCCGTGTCAACGGCAATAGCGTGACCGATCTCGGCCAGCGAGCAATTCTGATAGTTGAGATTGTCTAGCGTGTCATGCTGCACCGTTCGCAGAATGCCCAGAAGACTCGTCTCGGCAGCCAACTGAACACGGCCGATCAGGACATTGATGAACGGACCAACAGTCTCAGCCGCTTCTGGGACAGGCACGTCGCGCCCAGACGTTGTGTAGGCAAAGCAAGCCCCATCAGACTGGTTATAGGCCCGGAGGACTAGTGCCCAGGCGACATAGATGACGGTCGAGACATTTAGCTGGTGCCGAGCACAGAATTGGTGGATGAGCGATGCGTCCTCAACCTCAACATCGACACTTCTCAGGACTCGCTTGTTCTGCTCGACGGAGGTGTCTTCCTGAGTGTCGCAGATCTTGGGGAACAACGAGGGCGAAACTCCCGAGAGCTTGTCTTTCCAATGGGCGATTATGGTATCGGATGGCGTTGACTGCAGATATTCGATATAGCCACGGTAACGAGGTCCGCCTCCAATCGGACCCACGCCAGCGTATACGCGCTGGACCTCCCTCGCCACAATGGTGATGGAGGCTCCGTCGATCAAGGCGTGGTTCACTTGCAGCTCGCAGAAGGTGTCTCTCGTTTTCTTCGTCTGGCACAAAACCACATGCCAGGGCTCATGCTCATGTCGTGATTGGACGTCGCGAATCAAGCTGGCATAACCGTCCCCATCATCACATTGTATCTCGGTGATGTTATTGGGTGTTGACCGCAGGACAGCCTGTCTGTAGAAGCCGTCGCGGGCACTGCCCTGCTGCGCGAACACGGTTCTGAAAATCGCGTGTCGCTGCAGGACAGTCTCCCATGCCTTTCGGAGGCGAGGCAGCTCTATTGTTGCTGCTCGGATCGCATGAAGCCTCCAGGAGAATCGAGGCCGGTAGAGAAGACCATTCTTGGATTGGCTCAGGAGTATGCCGCGCTGGACCGGCGCGCAAGGGTATGCGTCTTCAATGGCGATGGGATCTTCGCTGCCCTGCGACCTAGCTAGGTCCTCCACCTCGGCTACGAAGCCATCGAGGGTTTCGTACGTGAGCTGGAGAAGGGGAAAGTCGCTCAGGGTGTAGGCAGGTGCTCTTGAGGCCAGTTCAGCCGCCGCTGAAGTGAGGGACAGCTCGTAGTTGCTGAGCCACTTGGCCATCAACTCGTCATTCTGCATTTGGCCATTGTACATGAAGGAAACCACAAGCTGGCCTTGACCCACACAGCAGGAAACTTCAATGCGGGTCAATGCCATCTGCACAGCTGGTTCATGGTTTTGCTGGTCTCCATGTCCCCCTTCCTCGAAGCTCAGGGCTACAATGAGAGGTCCTGGGCCCGACGACTCACCATCAAGCGCTGTTGCAGAGTACTGGTCGACATCGGCTTGATTCATTCGAGGTAGTCTTCGAGCGTCCTTGGCAAGACGGACCAGATCGACCAGGCTGTGAAGATGATTCGCGTCAGGTTGTACGGTTGAGAGGGTATCGAAACAACCGACAGCGTGCGAAAGATCCAAAGAGGCGTCCCCAAAGTCACGGCCGTCGCCTTGGGCGCAGACAACGGGGCGACTTTCAAGTAGCCCGGACGTCTGGAACAAGGAGTGAAGGAGGGCGGCGTGCAGAATGTCCAGAGGCTGCGTTGAAAAGGCTCTGTTGGCATCCCCCCTGATCAGGCGACTGGTTGGCACGTCGAGGCGCGCTTCCTGGCATGTGCGAGCCACGTCTCCGTTATCTCCGTTAATAGCATTTGTTGTGATCCTAGAGTCACAATTTTGATCCATATTGGGACTGAGATGAACCTTGTTGCGCGGCATGCTGCACCACGTTTGGAAAGCTGCCGGTGCTGGGCCTTGAACGGCGGTCGGGATATCCTGCTCGAGCATGGCAACCATGTCGGCTGCCAAGATGCTGCGAGAGGCACCATCCGCGACCAGCGGATGAGAGAAGAAGACAATGTAGTTGCCATAGTTTAAATCCCCACCTGGTTGGGACTGGAGCAGACAAGCCTCTAGAAGAGGGCCCTTGGTAAAGTCGAGCCCGCTAGGTCCTCGCTGCCGCTCGAGATCAAGGTCGGCGTTATTCAAAATCGGGACAGATTCCACGCGCACGCGGTATGAACTTTCTATCTCGGAGGTGATGCGCTGTTGCCATATGTCTTGACCCGGGCCCACGGGTTCAAATCTGGCGCGCAACATGGCATGGCGGCCAACCAGGACTCGCATCGCGCGGCCGAGCCAATCTGCATCCAGACCCGGCCAGCTGCTTTTGAGAACAAAGCTGCGGTAGTGTTGTGCGCCGTTGGTTGAAAGGCAGCTCTGAAGCAGAGATCGCTGTGCCTTGGTCAGGGGAAACGCGTGGTCCTTATGGCCATGGTGCATGGAATCAATCCTGCTATGCTGCGCCATCTGCTGCAGCGTTGGGTATTGGAAGATGCCCTGCATCGTGATGACAACACCCGCCGCGTAACAGTCAGCGACGAGCCGCATGCCCGACATGGAATCGCCGCCCAAGTGGAAAAAGCTGTCGTGGATGCCGATGGTGTCGGCCGGGATCCCCAAGACCCGGCTCCATGCGTCCCGCAGCGTGCGCTCGGCGTCAGTACTTGGCGCTTGCTTGGCCGCCACCGTCGCGAGGCCCGTGGCGAGGTATTGTGCGATGTCCTCCCGGCTCAGTTCAGCCACCCGTCGTCGGAGCAGGCGGCGGTCGGTCTTGCCGGTGCTGGCCATGGGCACCCAAGCCAAGGGGAGGAATAGGGTAGGCACCATGTGCTTGGGCAGCTGCGTCTGGAGATAGGTCTGGCATTGTGCCACCTTCGCGGCAAAGGCCTCGCTGGGAGCAGCTAGGACGTCCGAGGACGGATCGGCTGCAGCGTTGCTATTGGAGTGGGAACCGGAGTTTGACTCCTTGATAAAGGCTGCCAGCACCGCGCGGGACGACTCGGTGCCGCCACCGACCTCGATCACATCTGCCACAACGCGTTCGGCGCCCTCGAAACTGCCGGCGATGTGATGCTGGATCTCCCCAGGCTCCATGCGCTGGCCCCGCAGCTTGACTTGCGTGTCCTTGCGGCGCACGTAGCGGATGGAGCCGTCATGGCAGTAGTGCGCGAGGTCACCCGTCTTATATAGCCGGACGGGACCTGGGCCTGAACGCTGCAGCGCCCAGACGGAATCCTGCACGAAGACCGAGGCCGTCAGAGTGGCGTCGTTCAAGTAGCCTCGGCCGAGAATGGGTCCTTCAATGAGAAGTTCGCCAATGGCGCCGACGGGCATCAGCTTGTTGTTGTCGTCCGCATCAACGACCCAGCACACACAGGCGCTCTCTCGTCCAATGTTCCTTGGGTCGCCAGCAAGGTCCGGGTTGACCATGGCCAAGACCGAGCACTCGGTAGGTCCGTACGTCTCGCGCAGCGACACCCGCCCGCGCCACGTCTTGACGTCGTCGTGCGAAGGTGTCTCTCCGATGAGTACCACAGTCCGCAACGACGGTACCTGGTCGGGCTTGAGTAGTCGTACCACGGGCGGCGTCGTCTGGATCCACGTCGCGCCGTACTGCCGGATCGCCCCTGCCAGCCCGTCGATCCGCTGGCTTTCCGAGGGGACGCAGACGCACCCGCCGGCCATGAAGGTCCCCAGTTGATCCATGATACTGACGTCCCACGTGTAGGCCGAGAATTGGAGGACCCTCGTCGTACTGTCGATAGCCAGGAGGCGGTGTTGGGACCGGGCGCTGGCGCAGAAGGACGCATGCTCGATAAGCACGCCTTTGGGCTTACCCATCGACCCCGAGGTGAAGACGGCATACGCGAGGGTCTCAGGCCGCGCCGCTTCAAGGGACTTGTTGGCATCGCTGGTCAATATCGTGGCCCAGTCGTCTTCCTGGTTGTCGCCAATCGGAATGGTATGGCGAACAGACGGCAAGGCATGGTGCGAAGCCGGCGAAGTAATCAAGACTAAGCAGGCGGTTTCGTCACATATAACCTGTTTATGTACCAACGGGAGAGACGGGTCTAGCAGCGTGAAGGCACCACCAGCCTGTAGCACGGCCAGCATCGCCACGGCCGTCCATCGGCTCTTGGCCAGATGGATCGCCACCAAGACTCCGTTTCGAACGCCCCTCTGGACCAGAACCCCAGCGAGCAGCGAAGCCAGCCGGCCCAGCTCTCCGTAGCTAAGGTTTCCATCCCACGCGCAGACGGCGGGCGCCGAAGGGGTGGCAAGAACAAAGTGCGAGATGGCGTCATGGATGCACTCCTTTTTAGCCTCAGGGAGCACCTTGTTGCGCGAATGCAACCACTTGAGGTGGTTGGGGCCTACGAGGGCGATGTCTCGGACGCGAGTGTTCTCCTGGCGAACCGCACCCAACAAGGCGGCCTCGAAAGCTTCTGCAAGATGTGCGACTTGTATCTGAGGGAACAACTGCTCGTAGTACCACAGGGCGTAGTCCATGCTGTCTTTGGATAGGCTGATGTTCAAGGTGAGGTCGTACTATCACGCACGCAGTAATTGTCAGTTGCTTGCCATCCATGTTTGGGCGGTGCCCCCGGAGCATCACACCACCGGGTTTAGAATTGGGACGGCTTACCTCTGTCGGGTCGTCACCCGTCGTTGGACGCATGGACAGGCCCGAAGGCGCATCTTGCACTCCTCCCTTGTCCTCTGTTCTAGTCTGTAGCGAGACGATAGTATTAAAGAGCCCCCGACCCGTCACGCCCAGTTCGTGGAAAACCTCGACGAGCGCCGTGTGCTGATGGTCCATCCCCTGAAGGAAATCCGAATGGATCGATTGGGCCATTTCGGCAATGGGTCTATTGCCCTCCTCCAAGTCGACCCTGCAAACCACCATGTTGATAAAAGGCCCGACTATCTGCTCTACATCGGGGACCGGCACATTGCGGCCACTGACCAGATACCCAAAGCAAGGCGCCGCGGCCCCGGTGTAAGCTTTCAGAACCAGCGCCCATGCAAGTTGGACGAGATTGAAGACGGTGACGTGGTGCTTTTCGCAGAAGGCGCGCAGCTCTACGAGGGTGGGGAGGGTCCGGAGGACATACTTGACACCAGTATCAAGTTCCACTTGTCCCGTGTCGCGGCTGACGGTGGGCATCATGCAGGGTTCTGCTTCTGCGAGATAGTCGGCCCAGTAGCGGGTGGAGGCGCCACGCGGGAGCGCCTGTACGTAGGCGCTGTAATCTCTTAGGCCAGCTGTTAGCGACGGGAGCCGCTGACCATTATAGGCTGCGGCGATCTGCTGCTGGATCAAGCCGACCGAGACGCCGTCCACGAGGGCATGGAGAACTCGAAAGTCACACTTCAGACCACCGTTATCATCACCACCATCCCCCTTGCTGTCGCGGACTACAAGGTGCCAAGGGCAAGTCGGCGAGATGGGCCCGATGTCCTCGGCCATAGGGGGAGTCGATGCTCCCTGCGCTTCGAGGACGACGACCTTGCCTGCATGTGGCGTAGCGGTCCACCGCAGCACGACTTGGTCCCAACCCTGGCCCGTGTGGCTTTCCAGAAAGACGGTACGCAGGGCCGGGTTCCGCTGGACCACTTTCTGCCACGCCTCGATAAAGCGATGGCGATCGACACCCCCCGGGGCCCGAACCTCCCAGGTAGTGCCCGTCACGTAATGGGCCGCGTTCTTGGCCTGGCTGAGCAGCATGCCTTGTTGAATGCCAGTGCAGGGATAGGCGTCCTCGATCTCGACCGGGGCGCAGCCGCTGCCGCCAACGTGGGCAATTGCGGCCACCCGCTTGAGCATCTGATCTAGACCACGGTAATCCATGTCCAGGAGAGGGACGTCGGTGAGCGTGGGCTGCTTTGGGAGGGAGGGTAGGGCGTGACAGGCATCCTCCAGTGCGGCTTGGAAGGCCGTGGTCCATTTTGCCACCCGGTCCGAAGGGATGTGTTTGTGGTAGGTTATGCGGACATGCAATTGACGCTTTTTGACTACCCCTGAAACTTCGAAGAGCTCTGAACGGGGCGTCTGGGCCGGGGCGTCGAGTTGCGTAAACTGGGTCTCGTGCCATTGAAACAGGGCATTCTCATCCTCCAACTCATGAAAAGACCCGGCAAAGTTCATGACAATCTCTAGAGGTAGTGCTAGGCCTTGAGCGCCCTCGGGATGCAGAAGCTGGGCGGCAAAGTACTCCCACCCATTGCGTGACATTTGGCGGCGCCCGTCCTTGGTGCGTTTGATTGCATCGACAAGATTCTGCCCAGGCTGTACCACGGCTGGTGCGGGCCAGATGGTTGTGAACCAGCCGACCGTCCTCGAAAGCTCGATGGAGACGTCCCATGTCTCTCTGCCATGACCTTCGTTGTGGACGACAGGAGGTGCCCGGTCGGGGAATGTCTGTATGAAGGAAAAGATGAGGGCTGCCTGGAGGATTTCAACCGGTCTCGTCTGAAACGTGCTGTTGGCATCTTTCAGGAAGGCCAGTGTCGCTGCAGGCGTGAGGGTGAAGCCAGTGCTCACAGTGTCTGCGTAGGTATTCGTAGTCGCCTTGTCCGACAAGTTCCAGTAACGCAGAAAATCTGTCGCCGGCAGAGGGCTTTGGTTGTCCCCGGACCCAAGGATGGTGGTGCTTGTGCTTGGCAACGGGAATTGTAGGCGTTCGCGGACGTATTGTTCCTGAAGATGGCACCATGTCTGGAAAGACAAGGAAGCAGACACAGCCGGAGAATTCTTGCCGAGAAGAAGTTCCTCCATATCCGCAAGAATGACGCGCCACGCCACATGATCTACCACCAGGTGGTGCGCCACCAACAGCAAGCACTGCCTTTGGTCCTCGATGTCGAAAAGGTGGACCGAGAACAAAAGCCCCTTTTCGATGTCCAAGCTCCGCTGCGTCTCCAGCACCCTCTGCTCCACGGCCGCGACGTTGGGCACGCTAGACGCCTGGAACAGAGGCGCAGGCGGCGGCTCGGACAGGATAGTCTGCATCCATTCGCCATTGATCTGATGGAAGCTGCATCGTAACATGGCGTGGCGTCGCAAGAGCACCTGGACGGCCGACTGCACATGATCCGGCGCAACACGTTGGGTGAGTGCGACGAAAAAGCTCTGATTGAAGTGGTTCAGGAGGTCCGGGGGCATTACGGTGAAGAACATCCTTTGGATCGGGGCCAGGGCGAAGGGCACCCCGGGCGTTTCCTCGGGGCGCGATGCCACCGCCGGTAACACCGAGATGTTTCCACTGCCCATCTGAGCCCGCGCCGCAAGCTTTTCGAGGGAGGACTGGCTCAGTACATCAGCCACAGTGAAACGGATGCCTTGGGCGTTGCCGTGGGCCACCAGCGACATAGCACTGATAGAGTCACCGCCAAGCGAAAGGAATCCGTCATCAATGCCTATCTCTTTGGGGTCCGCGTTCAAGACCTTAGCACAGAGGAGCACAAGGGCCTGTTGCGTCTCAGTCTCGGGGCCACGCCTGGGTCCCCGTGTGTTGGTGTAGGCCTGCAGGTCCCTCCATGCCCGATTGTTGCCTAGGACGCGCAGCGCTTTCCTGTCGACCTTGTCGGAAGTGGACAGTTTGAAGTGGTTTACGGGTAGAAACAAGGCCGGGATCATGGAGCCTGGGACGGCATCCCGGAGTTGTCGCTCCGCTTGACGGACCTCGGCCAGGAATGAGTCGCTCGGGGGCAAGAGCACCATCTCTGCCTCACCGACATGTCCAATAGTTTGCCCATGACGATGGCCAGGCAAGTCCACAAAGGCAGCAAGGAAGGCTTGGTCCTCTAGACCGAGCGGCTTGAGAACCTCAGCAATGACGTTTGTCGCCCGGGGAAAGAAGGGATGAAGGTGGTTTTCGACCTCACCCAGCTCGACTCTCTGACCTCGTATTTTGACCTGATGATCTTTTCGACCGACGAATCGTAGTTGTCCATCGGGTAGCAACTGGATAAGGTCTCCGGTTCGATATACTCGAGGCTTGGTACCACCACTACCACCTGCATCTCGGAGTCGCTGGAGCCATTGCATCGGGGGTAGAAAGGCGGCAGCTGTCCGCTCGGGATCCCTCAAGTAGCCGCGGCCCACAATCGGGCCTTCGATGATCAGCTCGCCCACAGCGCCTACGGGCACCAGCCGCTCAACGTCATCGGGGTCAACAACCCAGCCCGCGCAGCCCGTTGCCACGCCGAGCGCCTGTGGGTGGTCCTCGGCTCTGACGGGGAACTGGACGTTGGAGGTGGCCGAGCATTCGGCCGGCCCGTACCCGCTCACCAAGCGGCCCTTCCATCGCTCCACGTCGGCGACCGTCTTGGCCTCGCCGCTCAGCGCCAGGATCTGCAGTCTCGCTCCGACTTCCTTGTCCAGTGTTCTTGCGACGGATGGGACGACCTCCAGGTATGTGGCTTCGGACTCGCGCAAGCAGGCCGCAAAGTTGTTCTTGACATCTTCTGGCCGTGCGATGTAGATGCTGCCACCCACCATCAAGGGGACAAGATGGTCGGTGATGCCGACGTCAAAGGCGTACGAAGCAAACTGGAAGATGCGCGTCGTTGGGCCGAATGGGAGGATACGACACACACCAGCGAAGCTCGCGCAGAACGAGCCGTGCTCGATCAGCACGCCCTTTGGCGTTCCTGTTGACCCGCTGGTAAAGACACAGTACAGAAGGCGGCTCGGGTCTGAATCCGACTCTGAAGGAGTAAGCGGTGGCGTGGGCTCCTCGCCAGCAACCGCCGCGCCAGAACAGACCTGCACCACCGCATTCGGGGCCACGGCAGCAGCCAACGACGCCCGCCCCTCCGAGGCTAGCACAACCTCGGCACCAACAGCCTCACACAACAAACGCAGACGTGCGGCGGGCTGGTCTGGATCCAGCAGGAGAAAGGCCGCTCCAGCCCGGAGGGTGCCGAGAATGCCGACGACCGTCCACATAGACTTGTCAAATAGTAAGGGTACGATGGGCTCATCTTGGCTCCTCGGAGACCAACGATGTCTCAACGAGGCCGCCACTCGCGCCGACAGCGCCGCGAGCTGCGCGTACGTCAACTCCCCGTCCCACGCTTTGACTGCCACCGCGTCAGGGGTGTTCCTGCAGTGGCGCAAGATCATGTCATGGACACACGTCGCCTCACCAGCCCCAGCATCATCGGCAGGTGGCGGGTGAATTGTGTTCCACCGCGACAAGGCCTCCATTCCCTCCGGGCTGATGCTCATGGAGTCCCTGACCAGTGGGTAGTTGTGGTTGGTAGCCATCATCCTGATCTGGGACGTGGCGTGCGCAAACTGGAAGAGCATCATTTTCATGACTTCCGGCGCAGTGACGGCCGGGTCGTAAGCTACGTTGAATTTGATGGACGAGGACGACAATCCGCAAGTGATGTTGATGGCGTACGACGAGAAGGCCGTGTCATGATTCGCCGACGCGGCGTCTATTTCCAACCCGGCGGACTTTTTGTTTTCAGGGGTCTCCATACCCTCCATCCACTGAATGACGAGCAAACTCTGGAACTGGCACGCCACGGCCGTCTCGGGGCTAAATGTGCGGATCTGCTGCAGGCCCGCCTGCTCGAAGCGCATCATCTGGGCGCTGCGCGCACGTATCGTCTCGAGGGCGTCGTGCGTGCGTTGCGCCGGGTCGATCCGCACCCGGAATGGCACCGTCGCGATGGTGGGGCCCGTCATGGCCTCGATCCCCGGGACAAGCGCGCTGCGGCCTGCCACCGTGGTGCCGAAGACGACGTCGCCGGACCCGCCGGTGTAGGCGGCAATGACAGTGGCCCATGCCAGGCGCAGCATCGTCGAGGCCGTGAAGTGCTGCTGCTGCTCGGTGCCAGAGTGGTGATGATAGTCCAGCGTGTGCTCCAGCATCGAAGTGGCCGATGGGACATGTTGGACGGTGGGTAGCGTGGGGAACGGAGTGCACGAGAGGCCTTGCATCTCGCTTGTCCAAAAGCCAGACATCTCGGCGACGTCCTGTTGGCGTAGGTATGCCACAAACCCGTTGAATGACGGCGCCGGGGTGAGCGTATGACCGAGGAATGCCGAGTGGAGGTCCTGAAAGAGCAGCGGAAGTGACCAACCGTCGTAGAGTGCGTGGTGAAGCGTGAGCACCACCATGGCGGCCTGTCCCTCTTCCTGAACCACCGTTACGCGGCAGAGCACGCCACCGAGAGTAACCGAAAGGCCCTTCGTATCGCCACTTGTGTTGGCGTTGTACCACCTCACCCCGGTATTTCTGACAACAGCTTGATACAACTCGCCGTCAGTGCCCTGGAAGAACCTAGTGCGCAGGATAGCGTGTGCCTCCACGGTGGCCTCCCACGCCCGCTTGAGCTTTTCCATGTCACCGCCAACCGTTGGTTTCAGGTTGATATGGGCTTGGTAAGAGCCGGGACTCTTGAGACTCAACGCCAGTAGGCCTGCTTGGAGCGCGGTGGCCGGGTAGATGTCCTCGATGTCGTCGACAGCCACGGAACACGCGTCGGCTGCCCGCCGTCGTATGTCGGAGGCAACATCCTCCTGGCCATTGCCACTCACGAGGCTGAAAGCAGCAACAGATGACGGGGACGCCACTGTAGCAGTCGTACCCGGGCGCAACTTGGCAGCCAGGCCCGCTAGTGTCGGTTCAGCGAGGACATGCGCCAGTTCCACACGCCAGCCAGCCGATCGAACATGGCCCGTGAAATGTATGGCCGAGATGGAGTGCCCGCCGAGCTGTACAAACCCATCGTTCATCCCGATATCCTCGACCGGCATCCCCAGCACGCGCCCACAAATGGACTGCACCAGCCTTTCCGTCGCCGAAGCCGGGGTCGTCGGTTTGCTCTTTTCCGGTAACGTGTACCGGCGGACGTCGGACTGTGTGAGACACGAAGCCGCCTGTTTCAGTTTCCGGCGATCAGCCTTGCCCGTTGCGGAGAGGGGGATGTGGACGACGGGGAAGAACACGGCCGGTAGCATGGCCGAGGTCAGGGTCTCGCGCAGGCGCGCCAGGGTCGTCTCTACGAGGGAGTTGAAGGACTTCGTGGGTGAAGCGAACAGTGTGTCCACGGGAACGGATTCAAATTCAGGGGCCAGTTGGACGAAAGCCGCGAGCATGGGCGCGGATCCCTCATCCGCCGGCGTGAAAACGTCCACTACCACGCCCAGGCCGCCCACGGCGCCAGGAAGCGCAGCTTTGATGCGGTACTCGACCTCGCCCAACTCGACTCTCTGGCCGCGTATCTTGACTTGCGTATCCTTGCGGCCGAGATATACCAACGATCCGTCTTCCGGCTGGTACTGGACCAGGTCGCCCGTCTTATAGAAGCGGCGGGGCCCCCCATGCGCTGGCACTGGCAGCTGACGCACCCACGCCGGATCGAGGATAAACGATGCTCGCGTCTTGACCTCGTCGCCGAGGTACCCGCGTGCCAGGATCGGGCCCTCGATCAGCAGCTCACCCGCCGTCCCCATAGGCGCCAGCTTGTTGTGATCGTCCTTGTCCACAACCCAGCTATTCGCGCTGTCGATCGCGAAGCCAATGTTGGCGGCGGAGTGGTGGCTCTTGTCCTGGCCCTGGGAGCGGACGGGGGAGAGGATGGTGCAATTGACGGAGCATTCCGCGGGGCCGTACGCGTTGATCAATATGACGTGGTCAGCCCAGGTGGCCACTGTACCGGCCGTCATGGGCTCGCCGACGAGGGCCAGCGTGCGCAGGCCAGGCAGCACGTCGTCTGGTTGGATGAGCGCGGCCATGGATGGTGTCATCATCGCATAGTCGGCCTGCAACTCCCTGATGACACCGCCTAGATCAGCTTGACTTTGCGATGGGTGGGGGATGCACAGGCAGCCACCAGCCAAGAGGACGGCCAGGTGGTCGAAGATGGCGACGTCGAATGCGTGGGCTGTCGCTTGCAGAAGCCGCGTTGAGGACCCGAGACCCAAGCTTAATCCTGGATTCCGAAGGCGCTGGCTAGGAAGGCGCCGTGTTCGATGATGACTTCCCTTGCGGGGTCCCCGTCGTGCCGCTGGTGAAGACAACATACAGTTTGTTCTGGGGGCCAATGTCCGCTACCAAGTGGCGGTGCTATCGGCCGGCTTGTCGCAGTCCCAGTCCCGCTGGTCTAGATAGAGGACATCAGAAGCCCAGTTGTTGGGCAATCGAGGACAAGGTGGTTGTGGACAGCAAGACCCCCGCCCCTAGCTGGGAACTGATGCTTTTCAGCCGATCGGGCGGATGCGCTGGGTCTAGTAAGACAAATGCACCACCGGCCCCGGAGAACAGCGAGCATTGCCACGGGCACCCATTTACATTTCCCCAGATACACGGGTACCATGGCCTCGGGTCCGACGCCTCTCTGTACGAGGTCCCGGGCCAGCTGCGCAGACAGGAACTCTAACTCCCCGTACGACAGTTGTCCATCCCAGGCGTGAACCGCGGGGGCATCTGGTCGGCTCTGGAAGTGGCGTCCAATGAGGGCATCTACGGTGCTATCTGCCGGTTCTAGAATGTGCTGGTTCCAGCGTTGTAGCTGGCGCAGCATCACCTTTCCGTCCAAGGCGATGTTGGCAAGGGCGCGAGACGGGGGTCCTAGCAATTGGAGGATGGCGTTGTGGAATTGGCCGACGAGGAGTTCGACCTTGGCCGCGCTCAGGACTCGTGAATCGAAAGATGCCTGTGTCAGAACATGGTCGCCGTTTAGATTGCATAGCACCGTCAGGGGGTAGGTGTTGATGGCGGCAATATTCTCCGTGGACCGGTGCACCTCGTGCAATAGTTTGGGCTGGTAGAAGCTCCCTTGTTGCTGAACCACGAGTAAGTTCTGGAACTGGCATGCCGTAGCGGCGTCGGGGCCCATGGCTTGGATATTGTGCAGTCCGGTGCCTTCGTAAGGGATCATGGCGATTGTCTGTTTCTGTACTTCTTCCAAACATTGCTCCACGGTGTCAGAAGGACGGATCTGGACCCGAAGTGGAACGGTGGCGATGGTTGGGCCCGTCATCTCCTCGATGCCATCGACAGAAAGCGCTGCGCCCGGCCACCGTCGCTCCGAACACGACATCGTCCGAACCGGTGTGTTTTGCCATGACTAGGGCCCATGCAAGGCGCACGGTGGCTGAGAGGGTAAAACGGGAGCTTGCTTCTGGTAAGTCTCGTCTCTGCTCGACGAGCTGCAGTTCCCTGGCTACTGGGGCACGTTGGTCGCGCCCCTGGTTCGTCGCAGGGAACACGGCGGCGTCGGCCCCCTCGAAATAGGCGCGCCAGAACTTACGACACTCTTCAGGATCCAGACGGCCCACGTAGTCTATGAATCCGGTGAAGGACCGGGGCTTCGGCTGCTGGCCACTGTAGGCCGACTCCAGCTGCTCCAGTAGAACCGTCATGGACCAGCCATCGTAGAGAGCATGGTGGATGGTGAGGACAAGTTGGGCCTTCTCACCTTCGGTGGCCACGTAGCACTGCATCAGAGACGTTCCCAGCCCAATCTGTCGCTCTCTTGCTTCCTTGTTGGCACCCCCGAGACCGGAACTTTGGATATGACAAGCAGTGCCGTGCTTTAACACAACTTGGAACAGTCGGCCTGATGAGGCTTGTATGATTCGGGTTCGCAGGATAGGGTTTGCCACCACTACGGCATCCCAGGCGCTGGCCATTCGCCGGGGTTCTACGTCATGGCCGAGTTCATACTGATACTGCGCAACATACGAGCCCTGGTGCTTGATGGTGAGACTCATGAGGCCTTCTTGAAGGGCCGTGCATGGGTAAATATCCTCAAGCTCATCCGAAGCTAGACCACAATTCTCCAGGGCCGTTGTTTGGAGAGTCTGTACGCTCTGATCCGATGGCAGGAGGCTGTAAGGAATGTACTGTAGTCTTTGGGGCAGAGGCGATGATGCCCCCTCCAGTGCTGCCGCCAGACCTGCTAGAGTGGGCCGGTTGAAGACGTCCGAGACGGTCAGGGCATATCCTTGAGCACGCGCAAGCCCCACCAGCTTCATGGCCGTGACTGAGTCGCCGCCAACCTGGAAGAAGTTGTCCTGTACTCCGAGAGCCTCGGGTGGTTGATTAAGGACGGTGGCCCACAGATGCTGCATCGCCTCCTCGGCCGGTGTGGTTGGCTGAGACTTTGGTCCTTCTTGCCCCTGGACCAGCCTCTCGAAGTCTGCGCGTGATAGTGCCCTTACCGCGTCCCTTAGGATCCGGCGACCGGTTTTGCCTGTCTTAGCTATGGGAATCCGGTTGACGTGAATCATCAGCTGGGGAACCATGTAGTTGGGTACGGCAGCTATGAGCTTAGCCTGGAGCTCATGGACCAGGGTGCGGAAAGGTTCGTCGGCTCGCATCAGTTCCACTCCGCCTTCTTCGGTTCCCTTTCCTGGTCCTGTTTGGACAAAGGCAATCAGAAACGCCGCCGCATCCTGGTTGTCCGGCCGAAAGACATCTACCACAACGCTGGAATCAGTAGGAAGATGGCGTCTGATCTGAAACTCGATGCCCTCCAGCTCGATCCTCTGCCCCCGCAGTTTGATCTGCGCATCTTTGCGTCCCAAATAGCGCAGAGTGCCGTCGGCATTGTATGACACCAGATCGCCCGTCCGATATAGCGCACCTCGGCCCTCGAAACAGGAAGCGGATACCCATGGTGGGCGTCCCAAAAGGAAGGCTTTCTCTGTAGCTTCCGGTTGCTGGAAGTACCCCCGGGCCACGACAGGGCCCTGGAATAACAGCTCTCCTACCGCACCCATCGGCACGAGTCGATCGACGCTGGACTGATCCACCACCCAAGCCTCCCCGCCAGCGGCACGGCCAATTGTGCCAGGAATCCAGTCATGGGCTTCAATCTTATGGGTACTACAGATGGTACACTCGGCCGGGCCATAGGAGTTGAACAGTTGGACCCGGCCCGCCCAGAGGTCAACAATGTCCTGCGGTATGGCCTCGCCCGCCAGGCTGACGGTCTGCACAGCGGGTATGTCCTCGGGCCGGAACAGGCGGAAGAGGGACGGGGTAGACGCCATCCAATTGACCCGACTGTCGCGGATAAACCCTGGCAAATCGTTCACCCTCGCGGCGTCGGACGGAATGCAGACGCACGCCCCCGCTGTGAGAGTGGGAAATACCTCGTAGACGCAGAGATCGAAGGTATAGGACGAGAAGTGCAGGGCGCGGGACGACGAGTCCACAAGCAGACGGGCCCGCTGCTCCCGGATTGTGGTGCTGAGGCTGTCGTGCTGGAGAATGATGCCCTTGGGACGACCCGTGCTCCCTGAGGTGAACAGCATGAAAGCGGCATTCTCGGGCTGTATATGAGGCAATGTTTTCGCATCCTCTTCTTCTTGATGTGGCGAGGAGGTGAATAGGTCCAGCGATACCACGACTTTCCTGCAAGGAGTCACTGTAGCACCGAAATCAACCGTCTGCGCGGTCAGCGGAGAAACCAGCACGATGGATGGCGATATCTCCGCGATGATGGATCGCACTCTTTCCACGTGCGCCTCGGGATCGATGGGGACGCAGACCCCGCCAGCAAGCAGGACGGCCACCATGCAAACCGGCCCCCAAACGGATTTTTCGAGGCAAATGGGGATGGGCATCTCGGCATCGCCCTGCAGGCCGTGGCGCCGCAGAACGGCAGAAAGACCAGTGGTGTACCCCCAAAACTGGCGGTACGTCAACACACCATCCCAAGCATCGATGGCAAGGCGCTCCGGGTATTGGAGGGCCATGCCCCGGATCCGGTCTGTAACGAGCTCAATCTCCGGCGCGGCGGGCGGGTTGTTCCATTCAAGTATGCGAGCCAGGTCCGTCCCACTAACAAGGTTCAGTTCAGACACGCTGGCATCCGGACGAGCCACGATTTCCGAGATGACGGTGCTAAATGTGCGCCCGAGGCTGCCTGCGATGACAGTTGGGAGGTTCTCCGCCCTGTAAGTGAGAGAGAGGTCGATGGTATTGCGGGAGACGGTGACGTTTACGACCACGTCAAACTATATGTATACATGTGTTTGGGATCAGCAATCAGGCCTTACATCTATCCGATGCGTCAAGTCGGGAGGAGCAGAAGGCCGCCGGTTACTCACCTCGGTGGGTTGGCGGTCCCGAATACGTTCAAAGTCGATGCTCCGCTCATCCTCAACAGGCAGGAGCTTTTCATAGGTAATGATGGTATTAAAAAGGCCCGCGCCCGAATGCCCCAGCGCACGGTAGATGTCGGCCAATGCACAATGTTGGTGGGGAAGACTGGCCGTAAAGCCGTCACGGCACTGCGCGAGGCCCTGGCGGACGCTGACGCCTTTACGATCGAGATCGACCCGGCTGATGAGCATGTTGATCAGCGGCCCGACCATGTCCTGGGCGCCATTGACGGGGACGTCGCGACCCGATGTCAGGTAGCCGAAGACGACATCGTCGTTCCCCGTGTAGCATTGGAGCACGATGGCCCAGGCCAGCTGTATGACGTTGAACAACGTCACTCCCTCGGTTTCGCAGAACTGGCGGAGGCGGTAGACGTCATCCAGGACGACTGCAATGTCTTGGAGTTGCTCGGACTCTGGCTCGACACTTGTGTAGACAGAAAAGACAGGAAATAAACAGGGCTCGGCGTTTTGAAGGCAGGTCTTCCAATACTCCAGGGCACGGTCTTGAGGAAGCTGCCGCAGATATTTAATGTATTGGCCGTACGATGGGGGGTCTAGTGCAGCAGTACGAGGTCTTCCCTCGTATACCAGCCCGGCGTCGCGAACCAGCACGCGCACCGAGTCACCATCCATGAGGGCATGACTGATGTCGAGTTGACAGGTTATCATGCCGCCTGGCTCAGTAGTTGCCACGAGTTCAATCTTCCACGGGAGCATCCGATTCTCGCCGAGATGCTTTTTGTTGTTGGGTGTTGCAACGGGCAAATGGTTACCATCAAGACGATGTGCCGTAATGGGAAGAACCGGTTGTTTCAGGACGACTTGGTAATAAGCACCATCACGAGCTTGTGCGAAGACTGTCCGCAGAATCGAGTGAGCCATGGCCACCTTGACCCAGGCATCCCGAAGCCGGGCTAGGTCAACTGGATGCTGCAGGTCCCGTGACGACCGCGGGCGCACCCTCCAGGCTGTGGATGAGCGGTAGGTCCAGGGGTCGCGGGCCTGGCTGAGCAGCATGCCCTGCTGGATAAATGCGGCGGGGTAGATGTCTTCGATGTCGCGCGTGTCCAGCCCTCCATTCTGCGCGACGAGGTCTTCGATCATGGACCCTAGGTCTTCTTGGCTCATGCTATCGAGCTGGGGGAAATCGCTGGCCCGTGGTGGCAGCTTGGCTGCCCCCCATCGCAATGCGAACTCGGCCAGCGAGGTCCGAAAGCGTTCGATCCACTGGCGTACCCTGTTCTCAGCCAATCCCTCCTGGGCATCCGCCAGCTGGACGCGGAGCGATGGGGATTCTCGTGTGCATGTTACCGTCATGTCCAGGGTTCCGGGCTGGCAACGTGATGCTGGAGGCTTATGTCCTGTCGAAAGGGGTGATTGTCGGAGGAGTTGGCACATTTCCGTTTCAGCCTCGATGGCAGATGCCGACGGAGATCCCTTGGTATTCCAGTGCAGGACGATGAATGGCCGTCCATGTTCACCCGGCATGGGCAAATAGCTGCCGCCGTTATGCCTCCTGGATCCGGCTCGAAAGGCATCCTTTACGTGACCCACGATGTTGAGCGAGTCTGTGTCTGTTGACAACGACAATACCAGTGATGCGTACGTTGTATATTGGCCTACCACGTCTGTGGCATCTCGTATTCTCCCATCGTATTCGACCACAACACAGACGTTCTTTTGCTCGGGGAATGTGGACTGCAAGGAATGGAGTAGAAGGCCCAGGAACAACTCCCTGGGGTCAGCGCGTAGAGCTTCTGCGCCCTTCTGCCACAATCTGGTGGCTGTATTGGCATCCAGCTCGAACTCGACCGAGAGCTTGTCCGGAACTAGGTGGTCCCCGAACCCGAATATCGAAGGTAGTATCCCCTGTTGCTCCATTGGCTGCGAATTTAGGCTCTGATGACGGCGACTTCCCCGACCCAGCCAGGACTGGAACGAACTAGTAGGGAGCATATGCCGGGGCGCCCCGTTCACCTGACTCCAGATAGTCGCCGCAGATCCCGCGTGATGATGTCCCACGACAGATGATCGACCACCGATCAGTGGTGCAACCCAGATGCAGGTACTGGGGGGCCCTGTCTTGCCTTCCACACTGACGAAGCCCGAGGCCCCAAGGATTCGGCCCATCGCGAAAATTCAGACGCGGATAATGCGGATCCCGCCGAGGTTGATCGGGATGGGGGTCGGTCCCTGTCTTGGCCGGCGCCAGGACATGCACCGATTCGCACAGAAAACAGCTCTGGTTGGGCTCTCTGACCACCTGCTGCCAGTGTCCGTCCGCGCCTAGAATAAAGTTGATCCGGAGAGCGGGGTGCCGGTGGACGAGGTATTGCAATCCCGACTCCAGCTGCCTTATAGAAAGGGATTCTGGTACCCGCATGATGCGGAAGCCATAGAGCCTTGACTCGTCGCGGCGGATCTCGTCGTCCTCCCCATCGGCCGGGCGGCCGTGTCTTTGAATCAGCATGTGTTGTGCTGGAGAGAGTGGAAGAAGCGGGCCCTGCTGTGGCCCTGACCCCCTGGCGGCAACTGCGTCACTCAGGGCCGCGATGGTTTGGTGTTGAAAAACGTCCTGCGTCGTGATGGAGAACCCCAGCCCACGACAATGGGCGCTCAGTTGCATCGCCAGGATCGAGTCACCGCCGCGCCGAAAAAAGGAATCGCGGAGGCCAATAGCCATTGCTTCAATGCCCAAGACGTGGGCAAAGGCGTCTCGAAGCCGCTGCTGACCTACTGTGGTCGGTGAAGGAAGCGGATGGCTGTCGTCGGCTGTCATACCCATCATATAGGCCTCCGCTTCGGCCCAGGGTCTCTCAGCAATGTGGTCCCGAAGGCGCCTGCGGTCCGTCTTGCCTGAGAGGGAGAGAGGGACGCGGTGGAGCGAGATGAAGGCACTGGGCACCATGTGCGCAGGCACCCGGGACTGGAGTTCGCGCTCCACGTCCTCCATCTTGTGTCGGAAGGCCTCGCTGGGTGGTGCGAGCAGCTGCAGCTCTTGCTCACTGTCTTTTGATGGACTCGGGGCCTGCCGTATGCGGACGCAGGCCACAAGCGCCGCGCGAACTTCCTTCCAGCGTACCACCTCGGCGACCACGTCGTTGTCCGGCCCCAGCAGGTCCCGGATATGCCACTCAACCTCGCTCAGCTCGACGCGCTGCCCGCGAATCTTGGTTTGTGTGTCTTTGCGGCCCAGGCAGACAAGTGACCCATCCGCTTCATACCGCGCTAGATCACCCGTCTTGTATAAACGTGTTCCCCGCACCGTAGACCCACGGAACTTGGCCAACCAGGATGGGTTGGTGATAAAAGCCGCGGCGGTCATGGCGGTGTTGTGGAGGTACCCACGACCAACCCCGGGCCCCTCGAGCACCAACTCGCCCACCTGTCCGGGCGGAAGCAGGATGTCGGCGTCCGTCTCATCGACGATCCAAGCGACGCAGGCCACGGGGAAGCCAATATTGTTAGTAGGGAGGTCACGACGCATCGGGGACCGCATGCTGGAGTAGACAGAGCACTCGGCATTTCCATACGAGTTGACGAGGACGACTCTGTCCGTCCACTTGTCCACGTCGGCCTGGAGCATAGGTTCTCCCGCAAATTCGAGCACGCGTAGGCTCGGGAGCGCCTCGGGGTCCAGCAGCCGGGCCACCGAGGGGGTCATACTGGCCATATTGGCCCGGAGCGCCTGGAAAGCACCGGTAATGTCGTCCTTAGCCTGCTGAGGCGACGGAATGCACACGCAGCCACCATAGACCCACGTGCGAAGGAAGTCCATGATAGTGGGATCGAAGGCGAACGAGGCGAACTGAAAAGCTCGGCTCTGGGTGCTCATGCCCAGCACGCGGCCTGATGCCCGGGCCGCGGCGCAGAGCGAGGCGTGCTCCACCACGGCACCTTTTGGCCGGCCCGTGGAGCCCGAGGTGAACACGGCGTAGAGCGCGCTCGTGCCGGTGACGGGCGACGCAATCCAGGCTTTGTCGTCGTCCTCGACCGCCCAGGTCCGGAGGGATGACTCCCCCACCACCAGAACGGGGACGGAGTCGCCATCGATCAACTGGCCGGCCCGGTCTTGCAGGTCCTCGGATGCCACCACAAGCGTGGCCCGCATCTCGGCACAAATCTCCCGCAAGCGGCGCGGTGGATGGGCCTCGTCCAGAAGCACAAAGGCCGCGCCGCTCCGAACCACACCCAGGACAGCGACGGCGGTCCACTTCGACTTGGGCACGAGGATTGGGACAAAGTCGTCGCACGCCACGCCGCATGTGACCAGCTGGGTTGCCAGGGCCGACGAGAGCCGGTCGAGCTCATCGTATGTCCACCGTCCGTCCCAGGCGCACACGGCTGGCGCCGAGGGGTCTCGAGCCATGTGTGCCGCGATTATGTCGTGCACCCGCGCCGAAGGGTCGTCTGCGTAGCCGATATGATCATTCCATTGATGGTACTGGTTAATGCCAACGTCAAGGTCTTGGGCCATGGCTGTATCTGTGTCTGTGTCTGTGCCCATTTCAGCGACAGGCGTGGCCATTGTGCACTGGCGTTTGTGTTTAGGCAAGATGTTCAGCTTGCTTCTGCGATCTTTAGTGATGCTCTCGGGCGAAATCGCACACGTTGATGTTGTTGATTTCTGCTTAAGATGTATTTGTTGGTCTGGAATGTGTCACGCGTCGTACATCAAACCATGTTTAGGTACATGTAGCTAAGTACCTCCTTAGACAACGCACGTTCTCCCTTGAACACTACAGTCACCTACCTAATGCTGCCCTCCCTTCAATGCTATAGGTATGTGATGTGCGGATCGCCGAGGGCAATGGCCATGCATGTACCAATGGCACCAAGACGGGGCGCATAACCATGGCGGTGGGGGAGTCGACGGCCCACACTGCATGACCCGATCCATCTGGCCCGAGGTTGTGAGGGGTTTCCGATCTCGGCTGCAAAGCGCTTCGCTTTCCATAGGTGGTACTCAGTGCACCGGTGCGCATGCAGACTCCGCGTCTGTGTCCAGTCTTGAGCATGTTGTCGGGACTATTGCGTGTCCCTGCTCTGCTCCTGAGTTCCCGGTGCGTACAATCATTATCATTTTGACCCTATTTTCAGGTTGATCCATATCACTAGGTGCTCTTGCTTCAACAATCACGATGCTGCGACTGAGAAAGGCCCCCCTTAACGTTCCGGAGAAAGCCATCGAGATCCTTGAACAGGATGGCGGTGTGATTATCACCGGGCTAGCATCCCCCGAGCAGCTCCAACAGGTGTACCAAGATGTTCGGCAGGTGATGGAGTTCAGGATGTCAGATGAGGCAAGTCAATTGGGAAGACAAATTGTTTCCATTTCGCCTGCAAAGGCTAACAACCTCAAAATGGTGATTCTAGGGGTGGAAAGCACGCTATAACGGCCGTATGCATGCTGGATTGCTCTTTGGGCGCAGTGCAACAGCAAGAGAGCAATGGTGTCTAAACCCTGACCTCCTAAGGATCGTCAACCATTTTTTACGCACCACCAACCCGCCCGACGTGGATTCCCAGAGCGCCAGCGAGCGCAGCACCGACGCCATACTATCCCAGGCGGCTAGCATCACCATCCTGGAGGGCGGTAAGGCCCAGCCTTTGCACCGCGACGATGCCATCTGGCAAAAGGCACACGTCAGCCAGGAACAGAGAGGCTATCGCCTGGGTTCGGACTTGGGCATCGGCATGCTGGTCGCCGCCGTCGACACCACTTATGCAAATGGAGCCACTTTGGTAGGCGATCGATGAACATCACGTCCCCCCAACCTCTCTCGTCAGGCCAATGTCTGCTGAGCTGACGTCAATGCCCTAGGTCGTGCCCGGATCTCACCTCTGGGGGGATGCGAGAATAGCCCAGGAACATGAAGTTGCAGCAGCCGAATTGTCGCGCGGCGAGGCCCTCCTCTTCCTGACTTCGACACTCCATGCCGGCGGGGCCAACACGACGCCAGATCCGCGGACCATGTACGCCATCTTCTATTGCCGCTCGTGGGTGCGACCCGAGGTTGGTGGTCCTTTGTTTCCTCTCTCCCCGCTCTCCGTCACAACCCCGACGCGGCGCTGACCGGATGCGGCGGTGCCTGCATCTAGGCAAACGACTTCGCCTGCTATACTCGGGAAGAGGTGGAGTCGTGGTCGCGAGAGGCACAGAAACTTGCAGGGTACGTCACGGATCGGATGCTGGGCATTTGCGATGACGGCGATGCGCTCGATGCCCTCCGCCGCGGGGCTACCCAAAGATGGCAAGACTGGCTAGTCTAAATAGATTATACCATGCAGAATCTCTACATTAGCGGCTTCTTGGGACACGTAGTTGCGGCATATAAGTTAGTTACATCGGCATCTCGTCCTCCCTTCCAGCCAACCGGCGTTACCCTTCAATCGGCGTGACGCCTCGGTCCAGAGGAAGCTTCCCTTGGACAGTCATGCAGACCCGTGGCCTGCGCTATTTGATCGGATACATGGCGATGTGCCATCGGCTAAGGAATCTGCAAGGAGAAACTACCTTACCATGCGGGGAATTGGCTTCGCCAACAGAGCACCGATCATGGTCAACGTGGTTGACTGCCAGGCACATGTGCAGAGACGGGACCGGTGTGATATGCCATGCAGATGCGAGGCATCCGATCGTTTTGTTCAACCCTCGGCAATCGCGGCTGTATGCCTGGTTATGTCATCGCTTCCACACTACGCATCTGGGCACCAATGGAGGCTGCCAGATGACATGCATCATGCTCTGCACAAAGACGAATACGGCAGGGCATAATGTGTTTCAGCTTCAATCGTGCCGCGCGCTATGCCGAACAAGGAACATCAATCGCCGGCCCTGATACCCCAGATCTTACGTCCACACCCTCCCGTGGTGTGTTGACGGGCCATGTATGGGCTCTGCATCTGCATGCCGTGTTGTGCTGTACTGTGATTTGCCATTGACGAAGCCACGCCAGCCAGTCGTCAGACATTCAGCCAGTTCCGGGTCGTCTATCGCATCCCGCGGCAGATACGAATACATGGCACCGAGTGCTCGACCTGCAGGACACTATGTTCAGAGCAAGAGAACGGAGTGTTCCCGCTTGAGATACTTTCTCACCACAAGGCACCGACTCCAACGCGGACTCTGACGTAGCATTGTGAAACCACTTGGGTCTTGTAGCTCGATCCGAGGCACCTCAAACTCTGTAATGGAAAACTGCGGACCTAACATTGTGGTGACCGGGGCCCCCGAATTTGTCAAGTCAGATAGCGACCTGTAATCCAATTTGGGGTTGGTATGGTGTAACAGCCGACAATTAACCTGGAATGAAGATCGGGTGCTGACAGGGGAGAGGGAAGCGGGAAGCCACCGTGCAGGCGAAGGGACGAGTCCGGGCTCCGGACATAACCAGCTGCGCAATGAGAATGCCAGCTGGAGTCTATGATGGCAATAGCAATAGCAAACCCACACCTGAGTTGAACCCTAACAGCAACCAACCTCAGCTCGATTTTTACCACAAGGTGCTTTCTCTTCTCTCGGAACGTTACTGCGACGGGTTAGGCTCAGCAACCCCGTCGCCTCTACCCCCATTGCGAGCGACACCGCTGACACCAGTACAGACACTAGGACTCCCTACCTCCCTCCCCCCTTTCCCCCTTTCCCGCGGCCAGTGCGATGCTGTCGAGACGAGGGCAGGAGCAGGTCCCCGGCAATGCATTCAACGAAATGTGGGAAGTGATGAAGAACCCATGGGACCGGCACTCTAACCCGACTGGCGCCGTCAACCTGGGCGTGGCTGAGAACCACCTGATGGAAACGGAGCTCCGCGACTATGTGGCCAAGCACGTCACACTCCGGAACAGTGCCGTGACGTACCAGGACGGGCCGCTGGGAAGCCATCGCCTACGGGACGCGCTCGCGCGATTCCTGAGCCGCCACCTCGCGACGCACCGGCCCCTGGATGCCGCGCACATCATGGTCACCAACGGCGTCTCGAGCGCGCTGGAGCACGTGGCCTGGGCGCTGGCCGACCCGGGCGAGGCCTTCCTGGTGGGCCGCCCCTACTACGGCGAGATCACGCTCCGCCTGCGCCCTCACGTGCGGACCGTGCCCGTCAGCTTCGGCGGTTTGGATCCCCTGAGCCTGCCGTCGGTACGGTGCTACGAGGAGGCGCTGCTGCGGGCAAGGGAGCAGGGCCAAGTGGTCAGGGGCCTGCTGCTGTGCTCGCCGCACAACCCACTCGGTCGCTGCTACCCGCGCGAGGTGCTCATGGCGCTGGTGGCCCTCTGCAACAAATACCAGCTGCACCTCGTCAGCGACGAGGTCTACGCCCTGTCTGTGTGGCGCGATGCGCCCGCCTTCACGTCGGTGCTGTCCCTTGACCTCGACTCGCTGATCGACCCGGCGTTGGTGCACGTGTTGTGGGGGGTATCCAAGGACTTTGGCGCCAACGGGTGGCGCGTAGGGTGTCTCGTGTCGCCGCGGAACCCTGCCCTGCGCGCCGCCTTAAGCTCCATCGCCATCTACTCGTACGCGTCGTCCCTGGCCGACACCGTCGTGGCGCAGGTGCTGCAGGACGACGCCTTCACAAGCGCCTATCTGGCGGAGAACCGGCGGCGCCTGGCGGCCGCCTACGCCTTCACCACCAACTTCCTCCAGCGCCACGGCATCCCCTTTACGGCCGGCACGCAGGCCGCGCTGTTTGTGTGGGCGGACCTCGGGTGGGCGTACCGCCGCTGGCACCCGCACGCGGAGCGAGAGGGGCAGGCGACGAGCATCGCCGACGACGTGCGCGATGCCCTGCGCCGTCACAAGGTGTACCTGGCGTCCGGGGACAACTTCGACAGCGAGTCGCCCGACATGTTCCGCATCGTCTTTGCGCACCCGCGCGACCGCTTGGAGGAGGGCCTGCGGCGGATCCACCAGGCGCTACTGCAAGGCGTCATCGGGGTTCCAGCCGGGGATCAGCCCTGCGCCCCTGTTGGCATTGGCACTGGCATGCCGGTAGCAGCACCCGCGTCACAAGGTCGGTCGCTGCTAAGTTAGGTAGTTGCGCGGGCCGGGCCGACGGGAATTAAAAGTTTCCAAACTACCTCCATTGATACCTACCGTACCTAGTGTCCTCGGAATGAACATTGCCAATCCGCTGCATTTCGCACGAGAGAGAGTTAGACTTCAACACGCTTTGTGATTAGCGTTAGATCGGGGAAAATTAGGCTTTTGATCAAACAAATACAATCAAAACTACCGTAGCAGTAAAATGCAAAAAGCAATTACCGTGCCTGGTGCAAAGTACGGTAAGTTCAAAAGTACGGTTGCTCCTGCAAGCACCGAGGCACTGGGTTGGGCATTTAAGTTCCTTCTTCGCACCTTCCTTTAGAATTCCAGAGCCACGTATTTATAACGATAAGAAATAATCTCCCTCAGTTAAATTGTCCCCATAGCTCAATCGCAAAATTCTGTCAATTCTTTTTCGTGATTCTTGCTATTTACCGTCTAACTACCTAGGTGCAAGTACTTACACGATCAGCATGCTATCGCCGAACATGTCAAACTCGTAATCACCCCTCTCAGCAATCTCATCATAGCAGCGCATGACAAAATCCTTCCCGGCAAAAGCAGCCGTCAAGACAATGTGGCTCGAGCGCGGGCGGTGCAGATTGGTGAGCAGCACGTCGACGGCCCGGAAGTCGAAGCCCGGGTAGATGTACAGGCCCGTCCAGCCCTTCTGCGCCGGCAGCGGCGCCCGCTTGTTCTTGCCTTGCGCCAGCGTCTCGAGCGTGCGCATGACGGTCGTGCCCACCGCTATGACGCGGCGGCCTTCGGCCCGGGCCTTGCTAATCTGCGCCGCGGCCGTCTCGCCGACCTCAAAGTACTCGGAGCGCACCTTGTGGTTCTCAATCTCCTCCTCGCTGATGTGGCGTATCGCCAGTGTTTCGGTGGCGCCTACGTGCAGCGTGATGTAGGCGATCTCGACGCCCTTGTCGACGGCCTGGTCTAGGATCGCCTTGGAGAAGTGCAGTCCGGCCGACGGGATCTCCAGGGACCCGGGAGTCTTGGCGTAGACGGCGCGGTAGTCCTTGCGCGAGTTTTTCCAATGGCCCGGGTTTAGCGGCACTGTCTCGTCGAGGCGATGGCCGTACAGCTCCAGAGTTGGCATCAGCAACTCGATGGGCTCGTACTGGGCCCGCCAGAGCCCGTCTTCGCCCTGTTGGGGCTCGAGGAGGTGGCAGCTCAACGCGGGCTCGTCGGTCGAGGTCATCGTAGCGCCAGGTGCGATCCAAGGCTGGTCGGGCTCGATGCTGACGATGGCGGTGTTGTCCTGCTCGTGGCCGTAGACAGTCACGTGAACGTCTGTGCCGTTGGCATGGAACTTCAGCGTATTGGAGAGCATGTAGCTGTCGTTCAGAACAAGAAGGTCGCCAGGCCGGAAGAAGTCACAGATGGTCGAGAAGACGGTGTGCTTGCTGGCCTCAGTAGACCGGTCGAGCACGAGCATCTTGCCGCTTTCGCGACTCTTGCCTCGCAGTGAAACGGGATCCTGGGGCATGGCCTTGGGATCCCATTCGAAATCAAACTCCTCGGTTCTCATGATGGACTGTTTTGGAAAGACTCGCTAAATCAGAATGGGCAAGGCTGTCATGGGGCTGGGCTCTGGGTTGGCACTACAATGGGCACGTTGCATGGGTCCTTTAAGTCATATACCTCAGGAGCCGGCGGACGTGGATGCCTACAGACGAGTAGACCGAAGAAAACAAACAGGAGATACAAACTCTAAACCTCGCCCGTGAGGGGGCCGCTGGAGCGAATGCAGATCGGAGGCAACGCAGATGCAGGTGCTCCCGGATGTGGAGATCGAGAAATCGTCGAGTAGATACGTGCACCCCGATGCTCAGATATCATATAGGCCCCCGGCTAAGCGCGACCTCCTGGCAAGCCTGCATACCAGATGTACCAAATGTTGCCTGGGGCAGTAGCTCCTTGCCACATACGAGGATATGTAGGGCCGGTAGCTAGTGCGTAACCTAACTGCATCGGGTGTGCCATGCAGGTTTGGATTGCATGGAGTACATGGAGACATTGCAGAGACCAGTCGCAGCATATTATTTACATAGGTAATGATCTATTTTACCTCTCCGAAACCGGGGGTCTACAAGTTGCATCCCTCGGAATGCCACAGCGAGATGATTAATGAGAATGCGCCCGGTATCGTTTGAGCCTTTGAGGGAGCTCGTCCAGGCGGGATTTCGATGTATTTGTCACACTACCAGGTACCTTCACATTAAATGTGCCCTTCGTTTGCAATTTGTGGACCTTGATTCCAACCGAGACATGCAGTTGTAGCGTGGAGATTAAGCCGGCTGGGTGATCGCGGGCGGTCTATTTTGAGCTGCGAGGCGACACATGATCGGCGGAAAGCGGGAGCTGAAGAAGAACCGTCAATGCGAGGGTGTTCCCGCGTTGCGCCGGTAGCGAGTGCTGGACCGGAACTCGGAGGGCTGTACGGCAATGAAATGGGTATTAGAAAAGATGTGGAAGGTGAGCTATAATTGTTTATCACTCGTCTTGAGGATTAACTTCCTGGATACCTTGGTAGTCCTAGTCCATTTGAAGAAATGCTCAGGCGGCCTTATCCAATAGGAATTCAGATGATTCATGACGCTGATAAAGTTCCCTGCAGTCACTAAGGCGGAGCGAAATCGATGGCTACCTGCCGAGGCAGGTATGGATGGACGAATGTTAGATTTGAGGATTCATTGCAAGATAGAAGATCAAAAATCCCCGACACGCACTGGCCTGCAATTTAAAGACAGCCTAGGTACCTGCCTACCTATACGCAGAAGAGGTTGTACAGAAGCTGGGGGCGCTGCATGCACAGGTACTTGCCGGGCCTGCGAAATCGGCGATCCGACCAACTACCTACCCGCAAGTTAATTCGGATCTGAGACGTTGATTCGGATCAGAGCAGTGACCTGGCCCTGACTCCTGCATACTAATTTGTAGACTCGACGAGTAGGTGGGGTCTGTGACGCTTGGTGAAGATGCGGGTCTGTCGAAGCCAAGGTCCTGTTGAATGTGTGAGGTTGTGTGGGTACCTCGGGAGGTAAGCGGGAAAAACCCCTCACAGCCACCAGGTACGATACGGCGGGGGTCCACGAAAAAATGGGGGTTTCTCTTTACAGCAATCAAACTGTCAGACATTTGGAGAACGCTTCAGAGCACTCAGTTCCAGTGACCTGACTTGCAGTGCACTAAGACCCTTGTTGCAAAGTACCTCTACCTTTGGCTGTTGGATTCCCAACAAGTCCTCTCCTGTCATGATGAAAGCGCCCGAGAGGGCTCCCCAACCCAGGATTTTGTACAGAAGGGCCGGCGATTAGATAGCCGTTGACACCAGACACGTCCCAATGATCGAACTTGCGGGCCACGCCAAACCGATGGAGATCGGAAACTTTAACTAAAGGAAGCCCAAGACCATCAAGCCGAGTGGAATGAACCAGCCACCCAGAGGCCAAGCCCCAACAGACAATGAAGCTCACGTACCTAGTTTTGGCGTGGCGCAGGTACGGGGCGCCTTGCGGTCTGGTGTCCCCGGTAGCAGAGAAGGTGTTCCCGATACCGTGACCAGGAGACCTGCGCGAGTCGCCCTGATAGACTTTCTCAATGGCGTGACTAGATGAATTAAGGGTAGTGTTCCTGGGGAGCAGAGGGGTCGGTATTCTCCCCTGTAATAACTCACATAACCAAAATGCTCTTGTTGGGAATCGGGGATACCGCTAAAAGTCAAACTAAAGGACAAAAAAAATAAGGCGGGCAAGGAGAACTCGTAGGCGCAGCATATACGGGCAAGCAAGGAGGGTATCAGATGGCGTTCAGTTTCTACCTATGGAGGCCGCGATCAATGGTCCTTTGCAACACACCACCAAGCTGTGGAATGATACCGGCCAATCCTGTTACCCGTACCATTCTTTTGGGTTCACTGTGATTCGCGGTTTATGTCTAGGTAGGGACCTAAGTAGAGGCTCTCTCACGTCAAGGATAAAGGAAGTGTTCGTTTCAGAACTGCAGTTAACCCCCGATCCCCACGAGCAGCGGTGCTACCTGACCCGCCGCATAGATCTGGCGAGTACAAGACATATGAGGACAATGCAGGTATTCCCCAAGTATAAAAGACCGCGCGGGAGATCCGGATGATCCAGCAGCCACAAGAAGAAGGCGGACCAAAGCGGCATCCCAATAATAGCCGCGAGCGTCTGGACGGTGCGGATGCTCATGTACAACATCTGTACCAGCTCTTTGTTGGCCAGGGCACTTGTGGCGAAGGAGCGCAGGGCATCGGATAGGCCCATGCCCGTGGCGGCGATAGCGACACCCACCGCATAGATTACCAGTGACGGCGCCGTGGCGATAACTAGAGTGCCCACAATGCTGGCCAGCAGACTGGCCACGATGACCCAAAAGTCGACGACCTCCTTGGCGCGCAGACGCGGGTAGAGGACAAACTTCGTCAGCACGGGCAGGGCGAGGAGGGTTACAGCCGAAACGATCTGCTCCATGGCCGTAACCTTGGCGACGTTGGAGAGGCCGGTGTGGAAGGTGCCCGACGCCCACTGCGGCGTGACTAGGGAGATGCACATAGCCAACGTGGACCCAAAGTACAGCAACATGACCCGGCGCGTGAACGGATGGCGTATTGTCTGCATAACGAGCTCGATAGAATAGCGGAGGTCGACCGTCACGGTGCGCAGGAGGGCGTGCAGCACGGTCGGTGCTGGCCCCTCCGGTGGCTTGTGTGCTTCGATATCACCGCTCGGTCCTCCCGTTGGGGAGGAAGAAACACTGGGCGGCACCGACGTCGCCGGGGCGTCGGCCGGCATCAGGGAACTACGTTCCTCTACCGAACCATCATCCGTGTCGTCGATCCGATCCGCGGCGGGGTCGTCGGACGGAAAGAGGGCAATGAGCGGTATTAACGCGACGTAGACGGCGACGATCAAGCCGCAGGTGATGAAGGCGTTGATGTCGAGGAGGCTGGCGCCGATAAATGAACCGAGCGACATAGTCCCGATCAGGATCGCGGTGAGGAGGTTGAAGGTGGCCATCCTAACAGGGTCGCACCTTTGGTTAGTGCGAGCGGGGTGACAAATGATGTGTACTCACATGCCATCCTCGCGCGCGCTCTCGCACGACGTAGAGGTAGAGGAGAATCTCGCGCATGGGCACGCCACCACCGAACAAGTCGAAGAAGCCGGAGAGAAGCACCCAGCGGACATTGATAGTGTTGTGGAAGTAGACTAGCAAGCGATGTGGCTGTCAGCAGGCTTGCGACCCTGACGCGGCGAAAGAGGAGGGGCACCTACACACACTGGCATACCACGCCATGCGCAGCGCAAAACTGGTTGTGTTGATGAAAAGAACATTCCTCTTGCCCACCACAGACGCCAGCCGGGTGTATATGGGGCCAACAAGGAAGCAGGTAATGAGAATGGAGAAGTCGAGCAAGGCGGAGAGGAAGGCGACTTGTGACTGCAGCGGCTCCGCCTTGCACATGGCCTCGGGGACGTCGCCATCGGGGCCCACGATGTTAGGGTCGTGCGCAGTGTAGAAAGCGCGACAGAGGGCCTGCTCGATGAGAAAGGTCTGCGATGCCTTGGTCATGGCAACGCCGAGGCCGTCGAGCGCCATGGCCAGCATGGCGCACACGGACACCCGGGTGCGCGTCGACGCCATGGTTTGACGCGCCTGGCGTGGTGGTGGAGAAGGAGAGGACTCTTCGGGTCCAAGTAGGAATTCTTCGGTCGATGATGAACGCCCAAACGCTACGGCACGGCGCGAGCGGGGCATGTGGGAATAACGGCAAAAAGTGGAGCAAGCGCCCGATCCCGTTTCATGGAGAGGGGTTAGGTCGCGAGGATGAAAAAGATGAAATCCGAGCGGAAGTGATCGAGGAAATCGGTAAGGTATGGGGCGGAATGGAAGTCATGGAGGAAGGTCCTCCGGGATCATGAGGCATTTGAGCCAAGTCAGGAGGATCAAGAGTCATTCGCGAGGTAAGATCGATGGAACCACAAGGACACAAAGGGCGCTGAGGTCGGGGGGGGGTAATTAGGTACCTAAAGCGGGAAGACAGACCTGGAAGTTTGAAACGGGCGGTGCCTTCGGGAGCTGCCACCTACTCATCGGGCCTGCGAAATCGACATCCGACGACCCGCCAAGGCGGCTAGTCGGGGACGTTGAATCGGATCAGAGACGTTGGATCGGAACGGTGAATCAGATCAACGGCGCAGTGACTTTAATTTCTTAGCGAATCCCGCCAAAATTAAAGTCCTCTTTGCCGAATCAATAACCCCGACAAATGCAAGCCAAGACCTTAATGGCTGTACCGCTTCACCTTTGCCGCAATTGATGCTCATATCGGTTATCTATAGCTTGGCATGCATGTACTCAAAACATTCATTTAAGGGGAGTACTTTGGGCTCCATATAAATTAGTATGGAGGATCAGGTCACCGCTCTGCTGCTGGGTAACCCTGGGCCCCAAAACCTGAGCCCGTTGCTGGTCCTGCAGATCAGGCAGCTTAGCAGGGATCCAGCTATGTGGGTGCTTGTGTCAGACGTCACCCGCTGTGGTCGGGCGCTCACCGGTCGCCGCTTGGGGCGTTTCTCCACGCGAATTCCCTGGATAAAGGTGGGGCACGCAGGGTTCTGCGCAAGCCACGTGGGCTCAAGGCTTGGGATCACATGGAAGCGCTGGATCATCAACGGTCCAGCGGGCCACCATCGATGATGGAAACATTTGCTCCACCTTAGGCTAGAGAAATCACGCCGGGAAAATTTGACCGGTTAGCGTTTCGGCCATTTTTCAGTCAAAGGGAAGAATCGTGAGATTATGTTGCGGCCTTGTTAAGGTATTTCGAGATACCATATCCACTCAGTCGATTCGTCAAAGGGAAGCGACTGTGATCGCGTGCATAAAAACCCCATGCGCACAACAAACCGCCGTGTTTTGACCATGCCCCCAAATTTTCCACTTCAACAGCCTGGTGCGGGGCATGTTGCAACAGGAAATTGATGTAGCTACCTCACGAATTGCGCAGAATCGGCCCCTTCGAATGGGGAAGGCGCACTTCGCTGGCGAACATGGCAAGAGCGACTGAGCGAGTCTTCTCCACATGTGTTCACCACTTTTTCCCGACCTTTACACCAACACTGCGAGTAGTCTGCGCAAAAAAGTCAAGTCCTCTGGCCGAAGGAACTCGGCACTTGCCGGGCGCGTTGCAGGTCGCGTGAGGTGGCCGACTCGAGATGCATTGGCGACGATCGGCTGAATGGGGTTGCTCTAGAAAGAAAGCATCCTCGGCGCACGCAGAATCGGGAAGTTCGAAATGGGACTGTTTTGACGGATAGGCGACGTCCACAGTTGGGAGTGGATGTGCTCGTGACCAACAGCATACCGGTTTCGCCGAAAGAGGGGCAAACAGAAAAGGTGTTGGATGGGTAACGGCGGACCGAGTTCGACGAGAGAGAACAAACGACCACTGGGTACCTACATGGAGGCGGAGAGATTCATCCGCAAGCTCTTGTTCTGGGCCTTCCCGAGGGCCTTAGCGATGCCTTTCTTTACCGGCTCGCCTCCCACATCCGTGGGAATGTGAAACGACGCTGGCCATAGGCCAGCGCCGACCGGATGCACTTTGTGTACACTTCTCGCGCTTTGGCTAGCCCCATTACCCATGGCATGAGTAAATATAGGTACCTGGTAACGGTTCTTATGCCCTTCTAGATCACGAGTTTATAAGCTGATCAGTTCGGTGTCAAGATCTGCGGTGTCATCACTATGATAGAAACAAATGCAGTGAATGGACTGTGAGTTGGTCTGAGGTGCGCCTAGTTGATCTATAGGACTCACTTCTCTCTCCACTGTCCGGGGAAGGAAAAAGCCAATCTATAACTTCATATATTCTCTATCGCGCTATGAAAGATAGATAGCGTCCACCAACCGTCAAAAGATGGAAAGGAGTATCACCCATCGCTAGTTGCAGGAAGTCCCTCAAAGAAAAACGGCACCGACGCCAGCGCCAGTGAGCCCGGCAACAAGCAGGCCAACGTCAAGACTCATGAGTGCGCTGGCACCGGAGTGCGGACGACGGTCGCAGGTGGGGCCTGGGCAGCCGCTGCTGGACTGGCTGCCGCTGCTGCCGCCGCGAGAACCGCCAGCGCCGCTGCTGTGGCTACCGCCAGCACCGCCAGCACCGGCAGCACCGGCACCGCCCCCGCGCCTCTTCTCTAGGTCTTGGTCGTAACCATCGCCGGGGGTAGTGGTGTTCTTCTCGTTATGTCCGTCGTGACGCGCAACAACGTCGGAAACGTCCGGGCTGGCGTTCGGCAGTTTGGCCGCGGTTGCGACGGCAAGGAGGGAGACGAGGACGGTGGTGTACTTCATTCTGATCGTTTTTGGGTATGTTACGGCTTTAAGGTAGGTATGAGGCTCTTTTATGAGACGAATTGATATGGTCTGGTTTTTTTTGGTTGCTGGTGTGCTGTGCTGTAGTGAATGTGGTCTGGAGTTGTAATTGAGTTTATTCAACAAAGGTGGAAAGGCACGGCTGATTTATACTTTTGATTTATGACCATCCCGGCATTTATCATAAGTTGAAGGCATCCATCGTGCTGCGTTCGGACCATGAAGCGAGCATTAGGATGGGTGCGGGCATGCGTTGAAACAACCGGCCAGAGGGCGGGCAACGGCGACACTCCCATCGGTGATTGGGGTGCAATCTGGGTTCTCTAAGGCAAGTGGTTTGATAATACCCTCTAGGATTCCCAAGTAGCCCTGGGGGCTGGCCGTTTTAGGTGATGCCTAGCGCCGGCCCGGGCCAGGCCCTAGAACACCGCAACACCAGGCCGGTTTGGAGATCCTGATCGCCTACCTAGATAATAATCGGCGCTACAAGTCCCCTTACTATTGCGAAAATTGTTTTTAAATATTTGGTGCGTCACGATACTACGTATTTCCTATCGCAGGCTTCTACGACCCTCGCTTCCGTTGTAGAGCTCGCTGAAACGCCGGCCGGAGAGGACTCAGGTGCGGTATGGGGCCCGATGTTTCGATGAGACCCGTTCCTCGGCCCCGCACCGAAGCAACAGCGGTCCTCAACACAGGAAATACGGTGCCAAGTATCAAACGTCAAATTTGTTTCCGATCTTTGCAAACATTGATTTATTACAACGATGACGCTAAATACACCAAGCCGTGCCAATAGCCAAATCAAATGTACCTAATTGCTATAATCGATAGTTAACGCTAATAGAACTGTCACGGATATGCCGACGGGCGGAACCACAGGCCAGTCGCTAAACAAACCAATCAGGGAACCCACATGAGTGGCTCAGTGAGCTCAGTAGGAGGGTACAACTGAGCACACTGAGCACCTTTGTAGGAGCCAGCCAATCATGACCCAGGAATGGGAGAAATAGCTCAGTGAGCTCAGTTGGAGGGTACAACTGAGCACACTGAGCACACAGGACTTAGATAGGTATATAGTCACTCGTTCTGGAGAGCTCTGGGAGTTCTCCAGTTAGCAATCACAACTACAGTTCGCTACAAGCACGGAAGCCTACTGTTGAGACAAGCCTTTGTTGTGCACCTTTTGGCTGCACCGAACCTAAGCACCCTTGAGAGATTACCTTCAACCGAAGATGAACCCTAACAGGACAGGGTCCTGAAGTAGGTTCGTCACAAGAACCCTCACCTCTGCTCGGCTAGGCAAGTCATCTGTAACTACCTACCTACTTAGCTAAGATACCTTCAATAGCTACCGGCGGTGAAAATAATTGGCTCAAGAAACCCAAAAGTATCGTCTAGCATCTGTTGAGAATAATTCAACTAAAGCCCTAGCTGCGAAGGTAGTCGATGCAGCGGGATTAACTGGGTTTCGCTTTACTCACTATATCCCGTCCTCTCATATACCTGAAGCTGAGACTACGGTAGCATCTTGGAGACCAACACTACGCGAACTTCGTACGGTATACCGTTATCCGAATTGCCGTAACGAATTGAAACCGGCACCTTTTCTCTCTCATGGGTGGCAGTAGCTACGGCCCACTCCCGAAGTTGCTTCGCCATCAACTTCTTTAAGACTACCTAGGTACCGCTATCCGCTCAACGGTTACGGAGTCCGTCTGTTGAATAAGCTTCTCAGAATTGTAACGTAACCTTACTGATATTGTTGCCCAAGTCAATGCGAAAGAGTCCCGGCACCGCCCCTATGATAAAATCCTTGTTGCTTGCGCCCCAAAAACTATCTATAAATCCCTCCAATAGCACCTTGCCTGGAGTCTTGGGATGCGCCTCGTGGCTTATACTGCAGCGTATATTAGACCCGATCTATACGAACCCCTTCTACTATGTCCGTATAAATGCGCCTGCGTTGCGGACGAGGAGCAACTGGCTACCGCTTATACTAGCCGCGGCGAACCAGAATAGTACGGGCTTCGTCTATAGTACCTGTTAAAGGACGCTAATGGTATCCCTCACGAAAGTGTCGAAGGTTACTTCGCCCGTGGCCGGGGTGGCTGACTCGCTGTTGCTGAAGCCGCGGCGGTCGGGGTCGATGATAGGGAAGCGGTAGGCTTCGGACAGCAATACGATCAGCTGGTCGTACATACCAGAAGACATGGGTTTTCCATGGAGGAAGACAGGGTCAACGGCTGGCGGTCGATAGTGGTTGCGGGTTGGTAGGGAGAAGAGGATGGAGTACATGTATAGTAGCGGTAGAAAAGCCTGGCGCCATCAACGTCCGACTAGAAAATGGGCATATTGGTAATTTGCTTCTTCTGATTCAATCAGAAATACTTACCAAGCGTACGGTTTCATTCTAAAGCCCCAGTGGCCTCGATCTCTCGCCTCGTCGAGAGCCCACCTTAGCTTTCTCCAGCCCAAAGCGCGGGAAACCACTCGGCCGCACGCTCGAAGACATCAACATAGATGACCCGACGCGTTGGAGTCACTCCACAGGGGAGTTAGAGGAATGCGACGTGAGTATCCGGCACGGATCCACGGTGTTCGACTGAGCTGGGCTCTCTGATGATTCTCTCGGTAACAGTTGGTATTAGCGGCAACGCTGCCGATATGGCGACTGTCATCTCATCTGGTAATCTTACCCAGAAAGATAGACAGGAGAGAAGGAGAAGAAGAAGGAGAGAGAGGTCCTCTCCCACGAGCTCGTCGATGCAACGTCCCGTGCTTATTCGAGGCCGCGGGACGCGGGCCAGGGAGAGGATCACGCCCGGGGCCCCCTCCATATGCCAGAAAGCATACGCCCTGTATCCGGGCCAACGTACTCGAGCAGCATATCTGCTGTAGAAAGATGTAGGCTGGTAGGGTGGACGGCGTAGCGTGAGAGGGTCTGGTACCCGAAAAAGTAGCGGAGGTGGTATCGGATTGTGAGCCAGAAACGAACGTAAAACGGCATTCGTGGCTCATGTGTAAACTATGAGAAGACGAGGTCAGCGGGAAAGACGAAGCCGGTGGCGCAAAGCCTAAGCGACCTACATAGCGATATTCAGAGAAGCTAAAGCCATATAGGTGCGGTATACGGACGTCGGGCACCAGTCTTACATCCATGCGTTCGTCCCTACTTCGCCAACATTTTTTGCGCCGATGGTCACCGAAATAGTTAGGTACCCGGGATGCACGTACGTATTGGGCCGGTCTTGGATTATCTTGCATACTCCAGGTATGTTCGCCGACATCTTTCAAATTCTCCACCGGTTACCATAAAGTAGAGCCTTCAGTTACCGCCCCCTGGGTACGTTATTCGACGGCTTAGAAAATCACTGAAGGCATAAAAGGGTGCATATGAGGGGTTCCAGTTCTCGATTACTTGGACAATTGTGATGTTGATTTTGGCTTGATGCCTTGGATGGCGACCAATCCCTGCTTTTTGGTCTACATTCTGACCTAAAAGAACCGACGTGTTCACAGAGTCAAGACACTCAATATCCCAGTCACTTGAAGCGACAACCAGCCCATCTAAGTAAACTGCGAGAAGAACTCCCACGAGTTTGCCGGTGCAAACGGATACGACTGGCCCTGGTTGACCTGCGAGGGATTGTGGTCGCCGTTGTGGATCACCCAGGTAACGGGGAAGCCCTCCTTGCATCCCTTGTACTCGGTCTTGACCGAGTTGCCGCCATTGGGCTGGGGCTCCGACGAAAGAGGCGTGCAGCCGTTGTTCTTGACGAAGCGGTCGCGCAGCTGGCGGCCCATGGCCACGTTGAGGACCGAGTCGGAGGTGCCGTGCTGCGCGTAGTAGGCGACGGGCGAGGTGCCGCCCTGGCAGCCGCTGAGCTCGGCGCCCGAGAGCACGGCGACGGCGCGGATCATGTCGGGCCGCGAGCACGCCAGGCTGTAGGACATGCCGCCGCCCCAGCTGAAGCCGGTGGCGAAGCGCAGCTTGGTGTCGACGCAGAGGTCGGCCTCGATCGTCTTGACCATCTGGTCGAAGAAGGTGGTGTCCTCGCCGCCGTTGTTGGCCCAGCCCGAGTTGAGCCCGTTGGGGACCACGAAGATGGCGCTGTTGTTGGCCAGAGGCGGCAGGCCGTAGTAGGGAACCACGCCGCCGGCGTTGGGGTTCTCGCCTTGCACGATCTTGGTGGCGCTGCCGCCACGTTGGTGCCACAGGAAGACTAGGCGGTAAGGGTGGTTCTGGTCGTAGTTGTCGGGGAGCTTCATGATGTACTCGCGCTGCTTGCCGTTGACCTGCATCGTGTACTGCTGGCTCTTGATGGTGGGGGTCTTGCCACAGCCGGCTGATGACTCGGCAATGACGGCGCCAGCCCAAGCCAGGGCGAGCATGGCCGCAGCCGCCAAGTTGCGTGTTCCGAGCATTGTTGGTCTCAGGGGGGGATCAGGTGAACGAGATGGATGTATGTTAGGCTCTGGGGTTGTCGTTAAGCTAGGAGATCCTCGGAGGTTTTGTACTCCAACAAACGGGACAGAGTTAGTAAACAATCCGGAATGTTCTCCGACGGTTGAAATGCCGAAAGCGACGTTGATCCCCAGAAGCCTGATACCCTATAACCCCTTGCATTGATCCACACGGCTGCACGGAGGAGTGGACTTGGGAGAAAGCAGCAGCAGATGCGCGCGAATCGGGTAAAACCCACACAATGGGAACTGGAACAACGCCGATCCGCAATCAATTCGATACTCCGGGGTACGTCTCCCAAAACCATGGCCGAGGCGCACGAATCGGGTTGAATTTATAACGAGTGCCAAGTTGTTCGATCTCGGAAACGTTGACCCTGTGTTATGGTTCGGATGTTTTAGTCTTGATACCATTGGTGGCTGGAATAGTTGGACGCCTTGTTCAGACCACTTTCAAGTTCAACATCATATTAGGTCGTCGATCTGCCGACTACGCAAGTATGAGGCTGAGAACACTGAGCCCATAGGCCAGTCAAACGGACCCTATCTCTCCGGGTTCTCGTGTGCACATCGACCAGCTAGTCCTTTCCCCTGGAGCACTTCCGGACTATCAGATATGCCTTCATACAACCAAGTTGGTTTTCTCAACTGCCGTGCTATCATCTGCCGTTTATACCGGCCGAGGTCATATTATGTGGGAAGCCACCACCACTCTGGGGATTGGGGAATACCTAGGTAGGTACGTAAGATAAAGGGGGAGTTTGGTCCGCTAGTTGTAACTGTCGCCCCTGGCAATCAACAAGACTCAAATATATTCAGCCTAGTTTCATTCATTCACGCTTTACGCTCCAAAATAGGCTCAGCTTGGCCCTTACAATAGCTATCCCACAAATTCTGTAATTTATTGATATTTTCCCCGCCTGAAGGTATCCTCCCGGGTAGAGGCGATGCCCGAAGAGGGCAAGCGACCCCTCAGGGAAAAGCACTGTCTTTATTCCCTTTGTAGGGGTGCAGTGAGATCCTCGCTGTTGATGCCTTCCAGAAAAAAAAACCGATATTGTGGTTGTTGAAGACTACACCAGCTCCTGAGGGCCTTGAGGCCCTAACTACGACCGTCAGCGTTTTGCTAAACAAAGACGTAGTATGAAGGAGGTCAAGTGGCCGCAACAAACTAGTGTGGCAGGCCCACCATAAGATGCTCGCGCCTTCGATATCTAAACCTCTGTGTTAGTAACATAGGTATTGTGGAACTACCGGGTCAGGAAAGGTGGCGCAAGCGCTGCGGCAGAGCACTTCTCGGTGTGCCGCACCCGAGTAACAACTACAAGCTCTTGCGCGCCGGGCCCTTTTCCTTCTTTCCAGGAGCGGTACCCATGGACATGCCCCTCTTCTTCTTGCTCACGACGGTGATCCACCCCGCCGTGCCACCCTCCTCGTCCTCAACTGCTTCCTCGTACCCCTGTCGATTCTCTTTATCTTGGTCCAAAGCTCCGTCATGCGATTGATCACCTAGGCGCTCCGTCTCTGCGATCTTCTAGATACGGGTAGATGGGAGCGCCGCGACCATCTCGTCCAGGGCTCTGAGAGAATCGGGGCTGAGGGCCCAAGGGCCGCTGCTCTCTTCCCGCATGACCTTGATCGGCACCGTGAACAAGCTCAAGCTGATGTAGGATTCCCGCGGCCATACCCGCCCACCGGCCAGAGTGAGCTGCATTCCGTTGTCGGGGTGCGGTGGGGCAGGGGCCAGCGGGATCTGGCGGCTGCGAAAGTCGGCCTGGTGTTGGAACTTGCCGACGAGGGATTCGCCCTCTTTGAAGGATGTGATCTGGAATAAAATGTTAACTGCTGGCCAATGATACCATACGAAAGAGGCGGGGTTCGTCACATACCAGGAAAACATTTACCATGGTTTGGTTTGACTTGTTGTAAATTAGGACCGGATGGTCGAAGATCTGCAGCGGGAGGTGCTGGACAAGCCGCTTCTTGTTTATGAATCGCATTCCGGGCAGCCATACAATTGCGCCGCGGGCGACGTCGTCGGGGACTGGGCGACGCTGTGGTTTGGCGGGCTTGCCGGGTTTGGGAGCATCCTCGGCTTGGGTGAGACTGTCGGATTCGGTTTGCGACTCCATCGCGATTAACAGGAACTAAAGGGCTATCAGTATTATTGTCAGAACCTCCACAGGACCGATAACTTAACAGGCGACGGTACATTTGTAAGTATGGACAGTGGTGAGGGGTGTTGGTTAAGACTTCAGTTCGTTGGGAGGATGGTTGCGTCTTGGGCTTATATGGGCGGGAAAGTAACTGCGAGGCGGGCAAGGATTGAAGACGCGTATAGTTCATCGGGATCGAAAACATGAACCCTATTCTTCATGATGTAAACAGGGCTGAGGGAAGGCATGACGTCAAGAACAAGTGGCATGTTTATAAGCTGGCGTCGTCGGTTCTGGTATTGATAGGTAAGGTAGGTAAGATATCCTATCGGCCATAGGCTGCACCAAATATAGCGGAGCCCTTCGTTGGATAGCCCGCTTTGGTCCTAAAGGTTGTTCCTGGGTTGTTTTGGGTGGCGGGTACAAGCACGGCTAAAAATAGGCATGAACGGACTTGAATTAGTACGGGGTGTGGGATGTAGAAAAGGCTGTAAGTCTCTGAGTTGACAAATCCATAAAGTTTTGGTGGGGAGGTGAATACCGACCCGTGTACCTAGGTAAACAAATAAATAAACAAACTCCTGACTCCAGGTTATATTTCAGGGTATTGATACATGGGATGAAATGATGCACACAGATTCGACAGCAACAAATACACCCTGTCCAGATAATTCATTCAACCTCCCATACAAGGGAGACATCATAATGGTAACCTGAAGCCGCTGAGAATGGCTTTGCTTCACAAGTTCCGTTGGCTTCGACTTTGTTACTTTTTACTGATATGGATTCTGGGTGTTCGAATAAGGTGTCAAGTGATAGCACAAGATTAACCTTGGTGCTGTCAAGGGAAGACTCTACATGTAATTACCTAGGCCGCTTGTCACCTGGTTCATCGACCACGGACGGCTCTAACATAGGGACGACTAATAGATAGGCATGCGCCTCGGTCCCTGAAGTAGGCGCGTATCATTTGCGAGAAGCGCGACGGTGTTTTCTCTTCTCCTTTTACCCCTCCGACCAAGGTCTAGCAAACCATTAGGCTTAAGGAAGCGCGCAGCCACAAATGCTGTCCAACGAGGACCCAAGGTATATATACCACTTCCCCACTGAGCGCATCTGGATGCAGACTAGGCCTCGAGTTGACGAGGTAGCCAACACAAGTTCACCGCTCCGGCTAGGAGAAATGGTCACAGGCTCCGCCCTCCTTCGCATTCCTGGCTGTTTTGGGGTTGTACATCGCTGGACTGGAGTTCGGGCGCTATATTCCCCGGCCGACTTAGATCCTTTTCCCCGCTAGCGCATGGCGCATGGCGGACGTTTGGTCGGGGGCAGAAACGGCGGAGCAAAGGCCAGGCAGGTCGTTGGTCGTGGGCCACGCGACCCGCTGCTCACCAAAGAGTCCCTCTGCCACTTGACTAGGCCACGCGTTACCCCGAGAAACATCGAAGATACCTATATGATATGTCGGGATCAAGTGAGGGCCACGAGGCAGCACGGCGTGCTCTGCACCAAAGAACAAATGTTTGTTATTTGTACCAGGTGTAGGCGACGGGGTTCTCGCGTGGACATGCAGGAGGATGCTAGCGATTCTGGTGGGCCTTATGCATGTCAGAAGCCGCGCGGTTGGCACGATGCAGACAGAAAATGCGGAAACAATCTCATCCTGTTGGCGTCTGGGACAGGCCCTTTGTTCATCAGCCCCGGGCTCTCTGCCAGGCTCACTGACTTACCCCTGGCAAAGGTTACGGCTGATGAGCGATGTCGGACATGGGTAGGGACATGTAGAGCGAAGGTTCAGGGAGGCGTCCCTGGAGAAGGAATCCTGGGAATTGGCGACATGGGACGGTCAGTTGTGGGTTGTGGCTTTAGCTCACTTAATAGTCTTCCGAAAAGGTGTCAAAAGCGGCTCGGAGTTCACGGCGGCGGCCTCTTGAGGGTCGATTGGCCGGCTTCATCCCAACCCGATTTTAACAATTTTCCCCTGCGCCCCAAAGCTTCGCCACCCCACACCACGAAAGAGGCCCCCACCACATGGCCCTGGGCCAATGACACTGGCGCCGGCGTGCCGATGGCGCCTGACTTGAGCTCGCGGTCGGACAACGCGCGTGCCGGTGGGAAATTGCGCGGCGTCGTCCGAAAAAACCATGAGTGAAAGAAAAAGGGAGCAACAGCGTGACGTGTGAGACCTCCCATCCAAAAAGATATATATCTTGGCTTAGTCCCTGCGTTGTTGAGCTTTGCAATACGATATACCTCATTCAAGTTATTTTTGGCCTCGGGCTGCAGATGCCAACCTCGACCAAATCCAATCTCTGTTCCTCACCTCATGCATTCAGCCCCCCATTTTTCACAACCTCCCCCGTTTCAACCTCCTACTCAGGGGGTCTCAACCACCACCGCTGAGGTGACCGCCATCAACTACCAATCTTATCACGAAACTCCACAACACTCAGAACTACCAAGTATATCAAATCGCCAAAAAAGGTTTATTTGTTGGGCCTTGTCGGTGTGGGTGGTGGGTTTGTGAGTCCTGAAACGACACCAGATTTTGGTTGTGCAAGGGGGAGCGAGATTGCGGGGAGCTTCTTTGGGTCTGTGGCTGACAGCCTGACGTGCCCAGCAGAAAGGAAAACCACAATCCAATGGATACGGTACAGTTC